ATTTCAGAGCGTGTGGTGAAACCTTTCAGGGTTTTTTAATGTTTTTTTACTTTTACACTGAAGTGATTTTCTTATACATATGCTTGTGGTTTTGAGTACCCATTGAACACTATTCTTCTCGTGTGGTTTTTTTTTTTCACTGTAGTTGGCGTTTGAAAATAGCTTAACGCTAGTGGTTCGGACAGTGTCATTACACCCTTTGTAGAACCTGGGTTTATTGTAACATTAGACGGGAAGCCGGCATTTTCACACCTTGCTCAGGCTGTAGCGTTACATATTTGTATATTCCCACTCAATGGGTTATATTTCTTAAGTTAGAACACGTAAATGTACATCAATATAGGGAAATGTATATGCATATAAGTAAATGTATATCAATATAATTATCTTTCGATTATTTATAGATGGACGCCTTTCAAGTTAATCTTTTGAACAACCTCGGCTCCTTTCCCAGCAGTGAAGAACTGTTGTTCAGGGCAAAGCAGACAGATCTTGAAGATGATGAGGCCGTGAACCTAAAGGTCATAGAGCTGCTTTGCAGAGAGATATAAAAATCAGAAGAAGAATCCATGGACGAAGACTGTGATGAACTGGCCAGACTCGTGTTTGAAGACGGGGAGTGGGAAGGATAAGGGATTGCCCTGTCGATACTGTGGAGCCACCTTCAGACACATGCCTGATTTGTCTAAACATCAGAAGCAATGTCTTCAACATCCACCTGATGAAGAACCTTCTACCTCCTCGGGCATAACGTGACCAGCATCCTCCATCACCTCCTTCTCTTCACAAACAGCTAAAACTGGATAAATCTGAATGCAGATGTGATTCTAAGTCATGTAGAAAATGTGTAAAAAAGTCACAATTTGGCCTTAGACAATTCTTTTGATATTGATATTGGCATGATTGATATGCCCAAAGGAGGTACAAAACACACCAGTAAAGTGTCAGAGTGTGTCATACTGAAACATGTTATCAAAATCCAGAATACAGACCAGATGTGTTTGGCGAGAGGTCTCTCTCTGTGTTTTGTTAAGTCTCCTCGAGGCTCATCCTTTAGATCAATGTGAGTAAAGTCTCCTCGAGGCTCATCCTTTAGATCAATGTGAGTTAAGTCTCCTCCAGGCTCATCCTTTAGATCAATGTGAGTTAAGTCTCCTCCAGGCTCATCCTTTAGATCAATGTGAGTGTCGGTTTTTATTAATGTCAACCAGTGACAAGAAAAATACTCATATGGCTCACTTGGCACAGGAACACAAGAAATGTTCACCCTCACTGTACATCAATATGAAAGATTCCAAAAATACAAACAGCAAACCATTTTGACCTAAGTCTTATCAATAAATAATGATATTTCGTTGTAGAGGGGGCAATTGACAGTCTGACATTTTGTTTTATGATGTCACCAACACCTGTCATTCTATTTTTAGAATAGGCCCCAAGTAACAGGATATTAGACTGAGTTACGTTCTACTCACAGTTACAGGGTTTTTCCCATAAGTCAGATGGGTTTAAAAGGCTCTGCTGACAGACATGCCCATGTTATTCATACGAAGCTTCGAAATCGGAGGTATTTTCCGTTGTGTTACCGAGCGGAAAGCCACTGATATCGGGAAATAGGCGACCATACATATTATTTAAGAAATCTTTTTATAATAAATTTCTGATTACGTAAAAAAGAAAATATATGAAACAAATACAGTTTGAATTGTAGTCATATAATGTAGGCACCTGTTTTCTTTTATCTCAAACTATCATTTTAAGTTTGACCGTTTTTTTAAATCAGGTCCATTGATTGAAACCAGGCACTAACTCTGTCGTCATATTAGATCTAGATGACATGACATTAGATATCAGATATTTGATTAAATCAGAGGCCGTGGTGGCCCTCCTCGAAAGTAAGCGCAATTGTTGTCATCGATATATCAACGATCACCCAAGAGCCACATGGCATGCGATTAACCACACTGTGGTCAAGGGACGAACAGAGGTAGCCGGGCGTGAGGCACGCGCAGTCCCCGGGGGTACACTAAATCCTCTACAGGTCTACGACCCACAGGAGTCATATTACTGTGCAGTGGTGGTACTGGATTGCCGAGAAAGTAAATTGCTTCAAGTACAAGCACAGGACCAACAGGTCACTCAAGTCAAGAGTCAAGGCCAATTCCTCCATGGCCAAGAATGTAAGTAACTTTATTCAAAGATGGCTCATTAAAATCATGTGACTGAAATCATGTGTGATATTATTGAAACATGATTGTAATCATCGTTGGAAACTGCTACAAGGTTTTTCTTTCTATTTTTAGAATGTTTTGTCCAGAAATATGGCAGACAGAATCAGCTTTCTAGCGATGTATACCATGAATGGGTTCATCACTGTTATACACGTATATTTTCAGATGGTGACAGCAAAACCCACAAGGCTGTCAACAACCTTCAACCTTGTGGACCAGATATCAGTGTTGACAAGGAAGACTGTATTAATACCACCATAACACCAAGTTTGCGACCCCACTGCAACAGATGTACGCCTCTCAGTCGCATTCACTCGCTCACACTCACACTGAGATCGTCTTAGGAAGCTCGCCATACTCGCAAAAACGATCTCCCTCACTTGCACTCGTTCGCCATCTGTCGCAGAGGGTTCTGCGAGTATATTAAACGGTTCCATACACTCGCACAACTTTTGCGACTGATTGCTCTATCATTATTTCGGTCACAGTGTGGTCCTGGTGCGGTTGCGTGTAGATTGCTACAGCCGTAGTAGAAGAGGGTGCCCAGCCGACACTGATGAGCCTCCTGCAAGCCCACGTGGACCGTCACCCCTCCAGTACATGCTGAAGATACCTTGCTTGATACTGAAGATTTGTCATCGTCCAGGCAACGAAAGTTGGACAAGAGAACTGTCAACCTGTCCCCTGAGCAGCTAGAAGAGGTTATCAACTTCCTCAAAGACAACCAGCCATCCATGACACGAGGAAAGGGGGACTTCCAGCAGATGAAACAGAAGCAGGCTGTGTGGGATGAGCGGGCAGAAAGGCTATGAGTGCAAGCGGGGGACCTCAGGTCGTGGTACAGGAACACGAGGATACAGCTGGGATAAGCTGAGGACCAAGATGGAGGAAAGAGGAGCACCTCACAGAAGGGCAGCGGGAGCAGTGGCAATAACTTCAGTTCCTGATTAAGAAGAAAGTAATGCGAGGGGAGCTGCAACCTCAAATCAGGCTGTGATTTGTTGAAAGACAAAATTCATGCTCTCTCTCTCTGCCTCCCTATGATTATGGGGAATGGCTTGATGTGGCATTTGAACTACACACCATTGAAAAACTGACTGGCAAAGTTATTTAAGTATCAAGTACATGGAAAGAACAGCTTGTACCGAGTCTGTGGTAGTCTGTAGACCTCAAGCTCTGTACGTCTGTTACCATCAAGAGGAACACGGAGATTTCCAACAGCCCGCCCATCAGGCAACTGCTGTCAGAAGCTAGTGTGACTGATACCGATGGCTTTTGGGAAATGTTCTGCAGGTTTTGTTATTATTTTCTTAATGTTATATAGATATAAGGACAATTTGGTATTGGTTTTTACTTATTGTAGGGATGCCCTATGTCTTTTATTCTATTCTGTAGCTACAAAAATTGCCATTCAAGACCTAGAAAAACAGGTACCTCTAGTCGAGTAGAGTGAGTGAGTGAGTTAGTTTAGTTTTACGCCGCACTCAGCAATATCCCAGCTATATGGCGGCGGTCTGTAAATAATTGAGTCTGGACCAGACAATCCAGTGATCAACAGCATGAGCATCGATCTGCGCAATTGGGAACCGATGGCATGTGTCAACCAAGTCAGCGAAACTGACCACCCGATCCCGTTAGTCGCCTTTTACGACAAGCATAGTCGCCTTTTATGGCAAGCACATGGGTTGCTGAAGACCTATTCTACCCCGGATCTTCACGGGTATAGTTGAGTAGAGATCTGAAGACACGTAGGATAACAGGTCATCTCAGGACATCAATATTTCTCTGTAAACTTGAGAAGCTCTCAAGGCACAACTGCCCAGACAAACGTGACAGATGAGGACCTTCTCAAAAGATACAGCGAATGCCATCCCAGCTCTAGAAAAAACGGTACCTTACATCAACAGTAATGTGTGGATTGTTAGTCACTGAAGAAGAAAGAAGAATACCTACACAAAGGTTCAGAAGTGCTCCTAAAAGTTGCAAGGTGGAACCTTTTAGAAGATACAACGAATGCCATCCCAGCTCAAGAAAAACAGGTACCTTACAGTTACATGCATGCATTGTCAAGTCACTGAAGAATAACATCCAAACATAGGTTTAGAAATGTACCATAACATGAGAAGAAGTATGTCTGTTATTATGAAGAGAAACACAGATTTCCGACAGCCCGCCCATCAGGCAACTGCTGTCAGGAGCTAGTGTGACTGATACCGATGGCTTGTGGGAAATGTTCTGCAGGTTTTGTTATTATTTTCTTAATGTTATATAGATATAAGGACAATTTGGTATTGGTTTTTACTTATTGTAGGGATGCCCTATGTCTTTTATTCTATTCTGTAGCTACAAAAATTGCCATTCAAGACCTAGAAAAACAGGTACCTTACATCAACAGTTATGTGTTGATTGTCAAGTCACTGAAGAAGAAGGAAGAATATCCAAACATAGGTTGGGAAGTGTACTTCAACATAACGGAAGATGGATAATGATACAATAAAGGTTGATGTAGTGGTGGACTGACAATGACATAGTCGAGTAGAGTGAGTGAGTGAGTTTAGTTTTACGCCGCACTCAGCAATATCCCAGCTATATGGCGGAGGTCTGTAAATAATTGAGTCTGGACCAGACAATCCAGTGATCAACAGCATGAGCATCGATCTGCGCAATTGGGAACCGATGACATGTGTCAACCAAGTCAGCGAAACTGACCACCCGATCCCGTTAGTCGCCTTTTACGACAAGCATAGTCGCCTTTTATGGCAAGCACATGGGTTGCTGAAGGCCTATTCTACCCCGGATCTTCACGGGTATAGTCGAGTAGAGATCTGAAGACATGAAGGTCATCTCAGGACATATTTCTCTGTAAACTTGAGAAGCTCTCAAGACACAACTGCCCAGACAAACGTGACAGATGAGGACCTTCTCAAAAGATACAGCGAATGCCATCCCAGCTCTAGAAAAACAGGTACCTTACATCAACAGTAATGTGTGGATTGTTAGTCACTGAAGAAGAAAGAAGAATACCTACACAAAGGTTCAGAAGTGCTCCTAAAAGTTGCAAGGTGGAACCTTTTAGAAGATACATCGAATGCCATCCCAGCTCAAGAAAAACAGGTACCTTACATCAACAGTTATATGTGTGGATTGTTAGTCACTGAAGAAGAAAAAAATACCTACACAAAGGTTCAGAAGTGCTCCTAAAAGTAGCAGAAGATGGAACCTTTTGGAAGATACATCGAATGCCATCCCAGCTCAAGAAAAACAGGTACCTTACAGTTACATGCATGCATTGTCAAGTCACTGAAGAAGAAGAATATCCAAACATAGGTTTAGAAATGTACCATAACATGAGAAGAAGTATGTCTGTTACCATCAAGAGGAACACGGAGATTTCCGACAGCCCGCCCATCAGGCAACTGCTGTCAGGAGCTAGTGTGACTGATACCGATGGCTTGTGGGAAATGTTCTGCAGGTTTTGTTATTATTTTCTTAATGTTATATAGATATAAGGACAATTTGGTATTGGTTTTACTTGTTCTATGTTAAGACTTGTAATTGTAGGGATGCCCTATGTCTTTTATAGCTGGTGAATGGTTTCATGGGGACACTTGTTGCTTCTGATGTAGATGGACGAACTGTCAGGTTGGTGAAATAGTCACAGAGCTGGAAAATGTATCATTTACAGTTTATGACCCTGTAAAACAAATTCTCAATGAGAGAATACAGTTCCCACTTAATTTGGCATTTGCGATAACAATCCATAAGTTGCAAAGACAGACCATCGTAAACATAGGTGTGGACTGCAGAATCGTCTACCAGAATGGACAAGTGGGAGTTGCAGAAGGAAGGAGTGTTGACACGGCCGACGGTGTGTGAAGCACTACATCCTGCTGCAAGAAACACAAACAAGACGTCACAGTCTACGGTCAGCACGGGGGTGGTCAGCATCACGTGCTTACTCAGAGGCTGTGAGAAAATACACACGACAATTGCACAGCCACGCTTCGAGTCGTAAGCAATAAGTGCAGGAAGTAAGTAGTGCTGGGGACTCCCACAAGACAAGACGGGGCAAATTGTAGCAATGTTGTCAGTACACTCAGAGGCTGTGAGAAAATACACACGACAATTGCAGAGCCACGTTTCGAGTCGTAAGCAATAAGTGCAGGAAGTAAGTAGTGCAGGATTAGTTAAAATATATTACATCGTAGAAAGTCCTTGCACTACGCGGGTTGTACCGTGACTCCCACAAGACAAAACGGAGCAAGTTGTGGCAATGTCGTCAATACCAAAAAGATACGAACTCCTGGAAGATACATCGAATGCAATTCCGGCCCTAGAAAAACTGGTCCCTCACGTCAGTTATATGTATGTATGTATTATTATTATTATTATACCTTAGAAGTGTATCTGAACATAGCAGAAGACAGATAACAAAATGTTTGAATTGAAGTCATATAACGTGGGCACCTGTCACAGATATTTGATTAAATCCGAGACCATGGTGGGATATCAGAAATTCCTTGATGAATTCACAACTTTGTATTAAGTGTATTTATGTTTGATAGATGTTTCAGTATGTGAAGTTTATTTTGCTGATTCTGTTTATGTGAATATACACTTGTTTGTGAAACATTCATGTAGATATGCTTGATGTGGTGAACTCTATATTGCCTCTTCAAAAGATGTTACACAGGATTTAAGCTTCCTTTGGAAAGTAAATTAATCTAGCAATATATTAAAATGATTGTTAAATCCCATTATCCTTGGTTTTACTTGTTCTTATGTTAAGACTTGTGATTGTAGAGATGCCCTATGTCTTTTATTCTATTCTGAAGATACAACGAATGCCATTCCAGACCTAGAAGAACAGGTACCTTACATCAACAGTTATATGTGTTGATTGTCAAGTCACTGAAGAAGAAAGAAGAATATCCAAACATAGGTTCAGAAGTGTACTTAAACATAGAAGATGGATAATAGTAGAAGATACAACGAATGCCATCCCAGCTCAAGAAAAACTGGTACCTTATATCAACAGTAATGTGTGCATTGGCAACTCACCGAAATAGAAAGAAAATACCTAAATAAAGGTTCAGAAGTCCTCCTAAAAGTAGCAGAAGATGGATAATGATAAAAGAAGGTTTATGGTCTGATGTACTAACAGTGACATATTCAAGTCTCAGGTTATTAATGGTGTTTTCGGATTTTCACAAGGGTCTATATGTGAGTCCATTATCTTGAGGTCATCAGCAAGAACCCTGGTAGCAGAGAATATTATAACGTCATATCACTGCATATGTTCAAAAGCCTTCAACCTATTGAAGTTGGGTTTCCAATGTCATACCGATGAAACTCAACCACCAACACTGGAGTGTTTCTCGCCAGAATAGAAATGTCAGTTACGTGTAACAGGAAATCTATGCGGGTGAATACTCCTGATGATACAGCCATAATCACTACATCCTCAATGATGTGCAAAGGGAATTTTGGCCCTCTATATATGATAGCATTCGGTAATATCCCTTTGGTTCTCTACTAAAACAAATATATGGGAAAATAATGTGTACATCTGATTCAAATACACATACAGTTTAGTTGCACACAATATCCTCTTCCTCCTGCAGCCTCTTTCAAATTCAGGAAAATATGCTTGTTTGGTTGTTTAACGTCACACTCAGCAATATTCCAGCTATATGGCAGCAGTCTGTAAAGTGAATCTGGACCAGACAATCTAGTGATCAACAGCATGAGCATCGATCTACGCATTTGGTATATGATGACATGTGTTAATCAAGTCAGCGAGTCTGACCACCTGATCCCGTTAGTCGCCTCTTACGACAAGCATGGGTTTATCAACACACATATACTACTCATAAGAACCAGTTTAACACCCAGAATTGTAGACTGTAGTTACTGTGTTGTCACAGACGGGCGGACGGACGCACACACACACACACACACACACACACACACACAGACAGAGAGAGCAATCAGGCAACAATGATGTTACAGGGATCTAGCCACACAAGTCACGAGGACGATATCTGTTCCCTTGGCTGCAGCAAATGGGAGTAAATATTGCTAAATTTGAATTAAACTTTTCCTAAATCGTTATACGATAAAGTTGACTTTTAGTTAATTTCGAACAACCATAAAAGCTTCACTACGTGGTTCATGTTATTAATTCTAATATGCTACTTAGGGACCATCCATAATTTATGGCCAGGGGGGCTGATGATGATTTTTATGGAGGGAGATGTATAATGTGAATGACCCCCCTAAATTTTATGCACAAAGCAAGTGACACCCCCCTCCATGTCATGTACAAATTCAATGACCCCTCATCTCCTTCCCTCTTATCTTCAAGCATAATTTGTAAATAATTATATGTACAAAATTGCTAACCCCCATGTCATAAGTTATGAAAGATTCCTAAGTTTAGGGAAATGTGACGTAATATTAATCTTCCCAATTTGTTTCTTGAATTTAGTTAGAAATTCAAGCTAATCCCAGTGCCATAAGCCAGCTCCTGCATCATACTGGCTCACATCATTCAGCACCATCCAACCAACAACATCGTCTACAGTCAGGTAGACAGGTTGATTTTAGCACTATAATGCTGTTTTGTTTATGGAAACATAAGCACCAAACTCTGAACAAAAAGATCTCGCCTGCAAGATCTGTTTCTTCACACATACACCAGTAACAATATGGCAGTATTATCTTGATGAAAAGCCAATGTCTTTCATTGATAATAGGAACTGTTTTGTGTGTTACCATGGTAAATATAGCTCCTTCCAGACCAGTATAGAATAAACTCTCAAAAACATTCCACAGATGAATGCTAAGTAAACTCATCAAAAAACATGTAACTTGAATAATCAGGTAAAAGAATTTTGATCTAAATAGAGAACAGTTCCAGCCCTGCCATTAATGATGTGAAACAGCAAATCTCAATTTTTGCTCCACACAGATGATAAATGCTGCTTATAAAAAATACAAACTGGCATTCACCGTCGTCGGCATTCACCGACATCTATAATGCTTAGTATCTAGCAAACAATCAACCATAGTATTCTTATTCTACAAACAGAAACAGTCACAGACACTCTTCAAAGTTCAAACTCATGCAATAAGACCTAATCTCGCCTGAAGGATCAGTTGCTCTGCACATTTTCTCCAGCCTCAGTTTTTTCGTTCTCCGCTTCCTCTGTCTTCCTCCCTTCCTGCTTCTTGGGTTTGTCTCTCACAGCAAAACTCAAAGATTCCTTGTCGAACTTCAGCAGCATAATCCCCAACTCGCCATCAAACCGGTTCTTGGTAACCTGCCGCACAGGTGGGATTTGGAGTGAGTGAGTGAGTATGGTTTACATCACTTGTAGTAATACTGCTGGAATATGGCGGTGGACACCAGAAATGGACTTTACACGTGGGGAATTGAACCTTGGTGAGGAGTGAATGCCTTACCTACTTGGCTTCCCCACAGCCCCCACAGAATTCAGAAGACAGTATTCACTTGGTTGAGTGAGTAAGTGAGTTAAGTTTTACGCCGCACTAAGCAATATTCCAGCTATATGGCGGCAGTCTGTAAATAATAGAGTCTGGATCAGAAAATCCAGTGATCAACAGCATGAGAATCAATCTGCGCAATTGGGAACCAATAACATGTGGCAACCAAGTCAGCGAGCCTGACCACCCGAACCCGTTATTCGCCTCTTACGACATGCCCTTTTGTGGCAAGCATGGGTTGCTGAAGACCTTTTTTACCTCGGATCTTCACGGGTCCACTTGGTTGAGGGAGTTAGTAAGGGTAGAAGAATATGAGTGTTGACTGATTGATTGCGTTAGTATTATAGACATTAGGTCTGTATCGATGCATCGATGGATTGCACTCGTTCAGTCCCGATAGCAATGAATTGATGTCAAAAAAGTATAATTGTCTTCTGTTGATAAATGTGCAGTGCATAATACAGGATGTTTGGGTGCAGACTTCATTGAGTTTGTTTTCAAGTGTTTTTACTTGATCTGGTTTCAAGTTTGTCAGTTTTTAAAAGAAACTGAAACTACTTCAACTTGTTTTTTATCGCACATAAACTATACATTTTTGGGAAATAACTTCATATGAGACACATCGCTATCGCTATAGAATATTGCTATCACAATATTTGCAATCAATGCAAAGCACACGAAATATGGCCTCCCACATGCTGCTCAGTAGGAAACTACACAGGCTTTGTTGAGGCTGGCAAACACTTGAACCATTGAGCCATCAGGGAGAGTCCCAGCCAAGCCTGAAGTTCAGGACCATCAACATGATAGCAAATAACAAGTGGCGCAAGACCAAACCGATAATTTTGTTATCTTGGGAGTGTTTTAAGACACTTTTAGCACCACTCCAGCAACATCAGGGACAAGGGACACCAGACATGGGCTTCACTTATACGAAGAGCGAATGCTTTAACCACTAGGCTAGCCCACCGCCCCGTACAGACGTAAGTCTGGCACTGGGAGACAGTTCCGCATGTTGTTGACCTGTTCTCTCACCTGGACATATTTCCTGCCCCGCAGTGAGCTCAGTCGTTTGTCTTGCAGCAGCAGCACATTGTCAGCCTCTTGGGAAGCCTTGGCACTGCCGAATATTGACGCCGTGGTCAGCTCATCAGTCTCCTTCTCCTGGAGTACAGAGGGTGGGAGTCATGAGGTGAGGGAGGAGTCAGTGAGGTGAGAGAGGGGGTGAGTGAGGGGGTGAGTCGGTGAGGTGAGGGAGGGAGGAGTCGGTGAGGTGAGGTGAGGGAGGAGTCGGTGAGGTGAGGGAGGGAGGAGTGAGGTGAGGTCGAGGGAGGGAGGAGTCGGTGAGGTGAGGGAGGGAGTCAGTAAGGTGAGGGAGAAGTCAGTGAGGGGGTGAGTCGGCGAGTGAGGGCAGAGACAGTGAGACGACAAGACTGAGGGGTGAGTGAGGGGGTGAGTCGGCGAGTGATGGGGTGAGTCGGCGAGTGAGGGGGTGAGTCGGCCAGTGAGGGCAGAGACAGTGAGATGACAAGACTGAGGGGTGAGTGAGTGAAGGGGTGAGATAAATAAATTGCTCTCGTTCTCACAGTAAACAAGCACTTGACATAATCCCCCGCCGCAAATTATCAAATCAAACTTGAAGAGTAATGAAAGTGAAGGTCGTAGTTTAAGATGAAGTTGATGTCAACATAAACATGAGCAGTGAACCTCTCTTGATGTCCTGCTGTGGCTGTTCAAACACACAAATACTTTCAACACTCACTTTGACCTGGACATGAATGTCATGGTGTATAAATATGCAAAAAAAATAGTAATAAAGAAATTGCTGATCAAAAAACATTCAAGTGAAGTCTTGAAAGTCTATGAAAAAAATTCAGTGAACCATTCTTGAGTGAGCAAGCAAGTTTTACGTCACACTCAGCAATATTCCAGCTATATAGCTGCGGTCTGTAAATAATCGAGTCTGGAAGAGACAATCCAGTGATCAACAGCATGAGCATCGATCTGTGCAATTGGGAACTGATGACATCAGACAACCAAGCCAGCAAGTCTGACCACCCGATCCTGTAAGTCGCCTCTTACGACAAGCACGAGTTACTGAAGGACATTCACGGGTTGAAACGTTCTTGATATATCATATCTTTCTGAAAATCTTAACATGCTGAAATCTTCAAAGTGTCGCCATGACCTTGAAACTTATGTGAAGGTCACCAAAATCGCCTGGGCCCTGCGCATTCCCTAGACTGACTGACTGAGTTTGGTTTTAAGCCGCTTTTAGCAATATTCCAGCAACATCACGGCGGGGGACACCAGAAATGGGCTTCACACATTGTACCCATGTGGGGATTCGAACCCGGGTCTTTGGCGTGACGAGCCAACGCTTTAACCACTAGGCTACCCCACCGCCCCTGCATTCCCTAGATGAAGCTTGGTGTCAAATATGAAGAAAATCCAGTGAGTGGTTCTTGAGATATCTAGCTGACAAGGATAAAGTCCCTTGTGACCTTGAAATGAATGTCAAGGTCACAAACCTGACTGGGATATTTTGCATATCGTGATGAACCTAGGTACTGTAAGTATGAATAGAATCTAGTCTATGGTTCTTAAGATATTCCAATTTGTACGTAAGGACGGACAGATGGACGGACGAAGCCTCATACTATATTACGCTAAAAGCATGGCGGGGGATAACAAGAGTATTCAACTTATCGGGCAAGGTAATATTATCTGGGACTCAGATCCCTTATTTGGAGAAAACCCACCTTTCTAGGATGAATAACAAGGGACACGTGACAGTTCATGGTGGTGGCAAAGCGTCTGAAGGCCGAAATGATCATGTCTTGTCTTGTGAAGCGATCCGTCATGTCACCGTTGACGCCCATCATGAACTGCAGGTTGTCGACGATGATGTGGGTGATGTCGTGGACATACACAGCATGTGACATCGTCTAGGGATAGCAGACAGGGCACTGAGTGCGAGAAACTACATATCGAATATCCAAATGGATATTTTTAGACTTATGTGAGAAAAATACTTTGTTTCCCGAAGATTCTTTAAAGTCAACATTGTTCAGATCCAAACCAGTGTCAGTTTGATTAACCTATTATCAGTATTTTACATTAAACATAAATAAATACTCGGAACGGTAGAGAGGTTCTACAGCAGGTTTCGTGACCCTGAGTTATTAAGTACAGTCATCCCTCGCAATAACGCTCTTTTCGATACCGCGGATTCGGTTAAACCGCGGGGTAATCCGTGGCTCCCATAAAAATGTTACCCCTTGATCACATATTCATGTCATCGAAAATAGCACATCAACAAATCCGCTGTTGAGCTCTCGTTAATCACGTTGTAAACTAGTGAAATTCAGTGCGGATTGCAATTAACAGTGTTTATCATATATATCCACGGTATTTCAGATGCTTAAACCATGCAAGGCTTTTCTCAATAAAATAGATGAACAGCGAAACATCATAATAACTTTATCATAAAGACATGACATCAGCCAAGTACTTACGTTTGCTGATGAAACACACCGTGTTATTGCACGGGTAAACACTGCCATCCAAGAATGTATGATGTCAGAAAACATTATATTTGATAAAATTCAATCCCATTTTCATTCATTAAAACTGTTTACAATAACAACGGAGAAACCGTGAGTGAAATGGCATTACCTGATTCCATACAACGTCTGCTTACCACATTTGTGAGGGTCCGTTTTTCGCGCCTACCGCAATAGCACCAATTCCACATTTTTCTCAGTAATCACGAACAGATTCAGCCTTGTCATCCATTGACCCCAAGACCCACGTTATTGACTCATTGAAGTCATATTTGACAATTAATTGCCAACATTTTCTTTTTACAATCGAAGTGGCACGTACCGCGGGAAGTCAGCAGTGACTTGTCAAACTGTCTCCTACGTAAAATGTATCCAGCCAGGTAACCCAAAGTGCTTAGCAATGCTAATTATTATGTTAAATATGTTCGTAGAAAACATGCATTATACTTACACAATAGCAATATATAAGATCTCTGTTAGAATATCTGCTTGACATATAATTATTCTGATAATGGAATAGAAATTCTTTGATGTTTTATTTTAACTGAATCAAAGGTACATTGGCCCCAAACATCAATCTGTGCACAGCTGATAGCTATTTCTGGCTTAGTTGAATAACAGGTAGCATGACAGGAACAACAATTGAATTATCATGTCTTGTGATGTTTGATTGCAAGTTTCATGTACATACATCTATTTTCATTTACAAAGTTTTAGGTTTTTTTCACCTCCAACAATACGATATAGTTTTGACTGGGCACAATACACGAAATAGCAGTTTTGTTATGTCCATGGAAAATATGATTTTACTTGGCCTTTGTTCCGCGTTATGTAATCGTTACTATAACGCGGGTGTCTAAATAACGCCGGGGGTCATCCATGCACCCCAAGACCTGTGTTGTGGCGAGGGATGACTGTACTTAATCATTATTCTTCCTGAAGAATCCACTGAGATTATACGCGGGTCAAGTGCCCACCTCTATGACTCTCTTGATGCTCTCCTGGCCATGGAAGGTCATGAAGAACATGGGAAGCTCCTCGAACCGATTTGCCCACTGGTCAAACTCGTGGAGGTTCTTGGACAGATTCTTCCTGTAACAGACAGAATACTAGTGAAAACAGATTAACTGTCAACCCATCAATACAGAGTACCTGTCAATACAGAGCCCATCAACACAGAGCACCTGTCAATACAGAGCCCATCAACACAGAGCACCTGTCAATACAGAGCCCATCAACACAGAGCACCTGTCAATACAGAGCCCATCAACACAAGAATACCTGTCAATACAGAGCCCATCAACACGGAGCAACTGTCAATACAGAGCCCATCAACACAGAGCACCTGTCAATACAGAGCCCATCAACACAGAGCACCTGTCAATACAGAGCCCATCAACACAAGAATACCTGTCAATACAGAGCCCATCAACACGGAGCACCTGTCAATACAGAGCCCATCAACACAGAGCAACTGTCAATACAGAGCCCATCAACACAGAGCAACTGTCAATACAGAGCCCATCAACACAGAGCACCTGTCAATACAGAGCCCATCAACACAGAGCACCTGTCAATACAGAGCCCATCAACACAAGAATACCTGTCAATACAGAGCCCATCAACACAGAGCAACTGTCAATACAGAGCCCATCAACACAGAGCAACTGTCAATACAGAGCCCATCAACACAGAGCACCTGTCAATACAGAGCCCATCAACACAGAGCACCTGTCAAGACAGAGCCCATCAACACAGAGCACCTGTCAATACAGAGCCCATCAACACAGAGTACCTGTCAATACAGAGCTCATCAACACAGAGCACCTGTCAATACAGAGCCCATCAACACGGAGCAACTGTCAATACAGAGCCCATCAACACAGAGCACCTGTCAATACAGAGCCCATCAATACAGAGTACCTGTCAATACAGAGCCCATCAACACAGAGCACCAGTCAAGACAGAGACCATCAACACAAGAAGACCTGTCAGTACAGAGCCCATCAACAGAGCACCTGTCAATACAGAGCCCATCAACACGGAGCACCTGTCAATACAGAGCCCATCAACACAGAGCACCTGTCAAGACAGAGCCCATCAACACGGAGCACTTGTCAATACAGAGCCCATCAACACAGAGCACCTGTCAATACAGAGCCCATCAACACGGAGCACCTGTCAATACAGAGCCCATCAACACAGAGCACCTGTCAATACAGAGCCCATCAACACAGAGCACCTGTCAATACAGAGCCCATCAACACAGAGCAACTGTCAATACAGAGCCCATCAACACAGAGCAACTGTCAATACAGAGCCCATCAACACAGAGCAACTGTCAATACAGAGCCCATCAACACAGAGCATCTGTCAACACAGAGCAACTGTCAACACAGAGCCCATCAACACAGAGCACCTGTCAACACAGAGCCCATCAACACAGAGCATCTGTCAATACAGAGCCCATCAACACAGAGCACCTGTCAACACAGAGCCCATCAACACAGAGCAACTGTCAATACAGAGCCCATCAACACAGAGCAACTGTCAAGACAGAGCCCATCAACACAGAGCAACTGTCAATACAGAGCCCATCAACACAGAGCAACTGTCAACACAGAGCCCATCAACACAGAGCAACTGTCAACACAGAGCCCATCAACACAGAGCAACTGTCAACACAGAGCTCATCAACACGGAGCACCTGTCAATACAGAGCCCATCAACACGGAGCAACTGTCAGTACAGAGCCCATCAACACAGAGCACCTGTCAATACAGAGCCCATCAACACGGAGCAACTGTCAACACAGAGCTCATCAACACGGAGCACCTGTCAATACAGAGCCCATCAACACAGAGCAACTGTCAATACAGAGCTCATAGCAACTGTCAATACAGAGCCCATCAACACAGAGCAACTGTCAACACAGAGCCCATCAACACAGAGCACCTGTCAATACAGAGCCCATCAACACAGAGCAACTGTCAATACAGAGCCCATCAACACAAGAGCACCTGTCAATACAGAGCCCATCAACACAGAGCACCTGTCAATACAGAGCCCATCAACACAGAGCACCTGTCAATACAGAGCCCATCAACACAGAGCACCTGTCAATACAGAGCCCATCAACACAGAGCACATGTCAATACAGAGCCCATCAACACAGAGCACCTGTCAACACAGAGGGTTGAACCACTAGGCTACCCCACAGATCAACAGACCTAATGAACTTACATTGCAAACTGGGTCAGCATCATCTTGCCAAGTCGAACATTGTTGATTTCAAAGCTTCCCCACAGCGTGTTCACCTGTAAGAGAGACAGCACCAAGTTCACACCAATACACCAAAACACATGTTATACAACAAAAAACACAAACACAACTCAAATATATTTCAAACTGTTCACATTTGAATGGAATTGTTACTCGGTTACTATCTAGATACCACATCTAGTCAATACTTCATATGCAGTAACACTGTCAGAGATGTCAACCAACCCCTTGCATGCAGAGGTCGAGGGAGTAGTCACTCATGAACGTAGTCTTCCCTGACCCCGTGGGGCCGGTGAACACGGTCAGTTCCCCCCGGCGATGCCCCTTCAGCAGACGGTTTAAGGCCGGGTAGCGGCGCCACTGGAACAGACGACATATATGTAAATGAATGTGTCTAGACAGGTACTCTGTGTTCACTACTGTTGTGTCTTGACATACATAGCATTGCCAGAGGAGACTTTTAATTAAAGAATAACGATAAGAATACTCAAGCCATATTTAATTTTGACAATTCCTTTTCACAGGGATTTTCCTTCTTTCAATAAAATTGATAACCCACAAAAGTCATTATGTGAACCATTTTGTATGTTAATGATGATAAACATGTTAATATGTTATGTCTGCGCTCCATGTGAATCCAGTCTACCATTATTGACAGTTCATTAACACTTCACTTCATATACACGGAGTGGTGATACAGGGAATATTGCATGTCTTGCTGACCTTGACCCCTGCAACCTGTTCCACGTGGGCCAGCTCGGAGAAGACTTCCTGTCTGAGTTGGGGGAAGGACACAATGGATTTGTGGCTGAGTGGCTTCGCCTTCGACAAGATGGATTTCAGTCGCAGTTCTTGATTTAAAGCTCGGAATGGGCTGGGATCTTCTGCAGTAGGTCTTTGATTAAAGAAATACAATCTCAATTCCTGATTTTTCACTACACCCTTTTAAAATTGTTGTTAGCATGTGTAAAACCATACATGGTGATATTCCAGCTAAACAACAACGTCTGTACACAATCCAGTCTGAACCAAACAATCCAATGATCAACATTGTTAGTAATGATCACATTGGGGCATGTAGATATTTGGTCACCTCTTACCATCACAATAGGGACAAGCTTTAACCTGGAATTCCTGAGGGGTCACCAGTGAAGATCCGGGCTCGAACTGATCTTCAGTAACCCATGCTTGTCGTAAGAGGTGACTAACGTGATCAGGTGGTCAGACTCGCTGACTTGTTTGACACATGTCATCGTATCCCAATTGTGTAGATCAATGTTCATGTGTTGATCACTGGATTGTCTGGTCCAAACTCGATTATTTACAAACACTGCCATTAAACTGGAATATCGCTGATTGCAGCATAAAACTCACTCCTGTGGGTAACATTTCAATAGTGTCTGTACAATATACATGCATGAGGCGATTATTTACAGACCACTGCCATATAGCTGGAATACTGCTGACTGCAGCGGTAAAAATCACTCACTCCTGTGGGGGGACATTTCAAAAGTGTCTGTACAGTATACATGCATGAGGCATGATTGTGAATCATCACAGCTCTACTGACCAGTGTCCAGGAATCTCACCTGATGATGTAGCATCTCTTGTTGTTGAGCTTGTTGGCAAACTGCTTTGCCCCCTCCCACGCACGGATATCATCTCCGAACCAGAGCAGGATCTTCTTGAACCTCTCAAGCGAGGGCAGAACCTGTAACAGGGAATTAGGGAAAACTTGGGAGAATTGGGGTTTAATTTTTGTTTCAGTTCAAGTACAGCCATATTACAGCTTAATGGAAATGTACAGAGCCATTCCGTAGTGAAGGACACCTAGGACGTCACACATTTTGCGATTAAAAAATTGTTTTTCGTCTTTTGCACACCTTACGATCCATAAAACATTGTGGTGTGACAATGTACACACGTAGTGATGATGTCAACACGTATTGTACGCAGGACAATAATGGGATTAAAAATTGCTTGGTGATGAGTTGGTGGTGGGCAGCGAGGATGTAATATTCTTGGTGTCTGTTACTCTCCTGTCTACCATATCACTGGCGTCCCCCTTTAATCCCCCATAGCTTATTCTGTTTGTGTAACAATTGCCTTCTGTAAACATCCTCCGGCCTTGTACATCAACCTCATTAATTGTGCAATATCAATCACTAACTGTTCAAACTCTACTATGTATATATAGCCTTGCGTACAGTATTGTACATCACTTGCTTGATAACGATGTTAGTAGCCACACCCGAAACGTTGCTCCTATTGATAATAAAGAAGTTGTACAGAGCTGTTCCATAGTGCAGTTGTATATCCATAGAACTCTTCTTGTGGTTCTTAATCAGTCAATAGTAACAAAAATATCGATGACACAATGCCATCTGAGTCAAATGTAACATATGCTATATTTGGAATAACACTTTCTTAGTAAAGTACAAATTCTAGTACTTTTTTTAGTTGAGCCCCATCTGGGATTCAAACTCACACCCTCAGAGTCAGGCACCTAATCGCCAGCACACAAAGTCAGCCTGCTTAGTAAACTTACTCAATGACACAATACTTAGGTGAGTAAAATGACTGAAATACGCACATATTTGAAAGCAGTGGGTAAGGGAAAATGAAATACCCACTCAACATTCATAATACCCACTCCCCAAAAATACAGTGGGTACAGTACCCACACGAGCTAAATCTTATCTGGAGCTCTGTGAGTACACAAACGAGCTAAATCTTATCTGTGTGTCTGATGTAACAAGTCATGCAGAGAGAAACGTATTAGTTCCAGCCATTTTACTTTCCAATTCAAACACACGATGACCGCTATAAGATGTTGGAGTGTTTATTGGTACCCACACCTGTTACTAAACAGCACCAGCCATTGTTGACATGCTCCTGTGCAGGTTGTAACACCCTGGCGAAATGACACACTGAACTCACATTCATATCAAACTAACATTCCACATTTGACCAGTTCCATTTGTTACTCACCTCTTGAGCTAACACTGTGTATCCCCCGGGGCAGTGACACTGCCGGTACCTTGGTTTCCTGATAAACTGCCATGGCATTCAGCTCACTGGTTGTCATGACAACCTCTTTGGTATCGGCGCCTATAGTGTTCCAGCCAAACAAACCAAGGGGGCCAGTTCTAGAAGGAAGGGTATACAAGTTTCAATATAATACACTGTGGTTTAACATCACAAGACAATGGAAGATACTGGATTTATATCACGAGCAGCTGTCCAGCTTAGTGACGCCAGTGACAAATCACGCAAAAATTATTTCCAGTTTAATTCACCTACCAGTGTATTTTAGCTAACTTAACCTATAAATGCATTCATGATTATCATAATTTCTACATACTTTTTTACCAGCATTGTAATGAGCAAATCGTCAGCCACGTAACAAAGCTTAAAGAAAGTTTAAATCACAGTGACCAGTAACTGCAAATAAAATTGGTACTGTTGACCAACATTGACCTGGGAACTCTAGAAATTCAAATTTTTCTAAAGAGACACTTTGCATATTTTCTGTCAGTTATAAACAGTTCAAATTTGTAGAAAAATTGAAGCATTGAGAACTGGTGACTGACATTTTGATACAGATTCTTGTACGGTTGTCAAATATTCCTGCTTGGCGCCGTTCCACTCATAAAACAAAACACGTTGTTGTCCATAAAGCTTGTCCATATCGTACTTCCAAACTTCCAAAAATGCTACTCAAAGAAATGAAATAGACACAGTGTTGCAAAAACATAACTAACAACATATAGTGAGACTCCAATACCACTGGTCACTCTCGAACCTACCTGGGGACTGATACCTCGCGGAGAGTCTTGGCGCCGTCTGTTTCGGCATGTTTACAAATAATCTTCTTGAAGCCCAGCACCTCCCCATGCAGGTTGTGGTAGGGGAACACCAGACATCTTGCGGCAGGATTATACTGCACTCCAAATTTCTCAAATGTCGACTGGGTGATTCTCTGCAAAGAAAATTGGAAACTGAAACAGTCATCACATAACATGGCCGACACCATGCTATTAACATTCCTGGTCTCTGGTTTCAACATGGAGACTGGACTGAAATCTTATAACCCAGTCTGATGTATGTACATTGTTTCGGTAAATACGGGAAATGTTGAACTCTATGAAACAAAGTAATAACTGTGCTAATTTGAAGAATTAACTCCCCTATAGTCCGTTTGGCTCAAAAGCGGACCGATACAGCCAGGTGTTCGAGAACGGATGGAGACGGCACAGCACAGGTTAATGAATCAGTAACTTTGTCTGTGAACGTGCTTCTCGAACACCTGGCTGTCCCTTTCTCTGCACTCCTCCCTCGTAACAAACAGTGAACTGTGTCAATATTTTAATGATAGTTTGTTATACAATTTTTTTATTTTTAGGACAAAAATTCTGCAAAAACCTCACAGAGTGGGTATGATGTTTTGATTATGATCAGCGTTTCATTGAGTATGTTATGTTTATTAGTTTTCGAGTTAGACTGCAATTCATCGGTCCGCTTTTGAGCCAAACAGACTGTACCTGATGCTCCACAAAATTGGAGTTACCTCCCCTACTTGATGCTCCACAAATACTGGTGTTACCTCCCCTACCTGACCCTACTCAACACTGGTGTTACCTCCCCTACCTGACAACAAAAATACTGGAGTTGTCTCCCCTACCTGATGCTCCCCAATACTGGTGTTACCTCCCCTACCTGACTCAACAATACTGGAGAGGCGTCCCCTACAAGTCTCCACTTTACGCAGGGTCACAACAGGGTTGCATCTCCTAACTTAGGATGCACTCACTGCTGAGTTGTCTCCCCTGTCTCAGACAACTGGGGCAGTTCCCCCAACCAAAAGTGCAGCAGTCACCCTCCCTGCTAGTCCACCCCGAGAGTCATAACCCTACCTGGCAATCCAGGTCTCCGCGGAGTTGCTCCACTTGGTCTTCCGTGAGTCCTTTAATTGGCGTGGTTTCCGACCAAGTCTCCATCACACGAGACAAATCTTTCTTGAGATGTTGGACACTGTCGATATCCTTGAAACACTCGTACGTCTTCCTGTAGAACACAGCATGATGGGATTACTTGGAGGAGGAGGATGGGATTCAAAGCCTGTGGTACATATTGAAGCACTCGTATGTCTTCCTGTAGAACACAGCATGATGGGATTACTTGGAGGAGGATGGGATTCAAAGCCTGTGGTACATTAGCCGCAAGAACTATCAAGATTTCTGATCTCCCTTCTCAGCAATGATCCAGAAATTCCATGGTTGGTGACACGAGACAGGCTTCACACATACTGTACCAATTGGGAATTCGCCCGTGGTCCTACACAAGATGAGTGAACGCTCTAACCACGAGGATAAGTCACTAACCCCCTCAGTCTTCTCAGTGAGCATTATCTTATTACGTCACACTCAAACAGCAAAAAGGGATTGTGCCAAACAGATTTGCTTAATGTGATCACACTGTTCCATTCACACAAATAATGCTGGGTAAACAGCGAGCTGAAACCAGCTTGTTCACCTCGGACTAGACCCTGACACACAGATAATGCTGGGTAAACAGCGAGCTGAAACCAACTCGTTCACCTCGGACTAGACCCTGTCACACAAATAATGCTGGGTAAACAGCGAGCTGAAACCAAATCATTCACCTCGGACCAGACCCTGTCACATAATTACCCTGGTCCACAAAACTGGAGCCATGGTTTTGATGACAATTCTAAGGGAGGGAGGTGTGTGAGTGTGTGTGCATGTGTGAGATATCAATTTTTAAACACATGAACTAGGGTGGGCCAGCAATTTAAAGGCACCTGCTTAACATTATGAGGGGGGGAGGTAATTGATTTTGTACATGACATGGATGGGGGCGGGGGTGTTCAACATACTTTGAACATAAATTTGGGGGGGGGGGGCATTCAGATTGTACATGCTCCTCCATAAAAATCATCATTATCCCCCACACACACACACACATCACCACCACCATCCCTAGACATCCAATTTAAGGCCTGTAATGGAGATCCCATGGCCATTGCATGTTTAGATAGTAGGCCCTATTGATACAGGTGTACATGGAGTGTGATGTATCAGATGGCCAAGCACCCCTCCCCCATTACCCCACTGACCTCAAACTTGACTAGACTTACAGTAAAGCACCCATGTCTGACCTCAATTATACGTACTGTGAAGAACCTGGTTAGATTTGGTCTTCAACAACCCATGCTTGTCGTAAGAGGCGACTAACGGGATCGGGTGCTCAGGTTTACCGACTTAGTTGACACATGTCATTGTATCCTAATTGTGTAGGTCAATGTTTATGCTGTTGATCAATGGATTGTCTCGCCCAGACTTCATTATTTACAGACCGCCACCATTTGGCTGGAATATTGCTGAGTGCGGCGTTAAACAACAAACCATGTAATACTCAGTATACTGTATGTGACTTACCTCTTCTTCAAGTTGGCTGTGAGTGAAATATTATCCTTTAGTTCGTGCCAGCCTCCCAGCTTCCAACACGACCCACACAGGAAGTGACCTGGCAACAAACTCAAGTTGGGCATTACCATGGTTACAAAACAGTTGTGATCAATATATCAGTTGTACAACACAACAGTATACAAGCAGTGTTTCTGTTCTGTGGTAATAACATACGATATATCACTAAAACACAACATGGTATTTAAGACAGTGGTAGTAACTACCATGAATAACTGAAATAATACCCAGTGGCCTGTTTCACAAAGCCATCACTGGGAAGAAACCTTTCAAAATTTCCCAGAAGACCACAATACCAGTGAGTGGACATCAGTTAGTGGCACGAGAGACATAATTTGGGCAAGCATTTGGGATGATGACCCATATAAAATTAAAACATCACAACAATTATGTCATTTCAATTTTCCCGTGAAAATGAACCTTAGAATGAACCTTCAGTAACCCATGCTGTCTTAAGAGGCACAGGGGTGGAAATAACCCATTGCCCAACGCCAGAGTCCAGTGTTTTTTTCTGTCGGGCAAGCAAATTTGTATATCACACTGTACCGGGTGTCCAGTTGATATTCCAATGTTAATTTTGTTGTTTATTGAAAAAATCAACAAGAAAACGGACGGCATAGTGGAAACATTATCAGGGCAAGTGATTTTACATGTGCCACTGTACCGGAGTACACAAGCAATTTTAAAGTTATTTCCACCCGAGGCAACTAACAGGATCTGGTGGTCAGACTCGCTGACTTGGTTGACACGTCATCGGTTCCCAATTTCGCAGATTGATGCTCATGCTGTTGATCACTGGATTGATTATTTACAGACCGCCGTCATATAGCTGGAATATTGCTGAGTGCGATGTAAAACTAAACTCACTCATTTCAATTTATTGTTTAATAAATCATCAAACATCTGAATGTCTGTAAATTACTTAAAATCTGTAAATGGATTTCTTGAACACAATAATGATTGCAAAAAATAGGTCCGGTTCATTTGTCCTGGATCCACTAACTGTTATCCAGATGGTGATTTTTTGCTATGCTCACTGTCATTCAATTTCAAAACTGCCATGCCTATGACAATCTGTGAGATTAAGAATGCCAGTTTAATAGGGTGCAAAAAATAGATTTTGAATCATTAGATTTATCGCATTTTCTATTAAATGAATTATGGCAAACATTATTTAATAGTCTGTTTGCAGTGAAAACATACCGATGAATGTCACTATAAGCAAAAGAGTAAATCGAATAAAGTGAAATTAAGATTGCGAATTCTCATACTTTCACCTAGCAAATTGAACATATAAATCTCAGAATTTTATTCAACTTAGGAAAACAGTTGTTTAACAAACGATCATAGTTTCACTATCTACAGTAAGTAAACCTACCAGTTGTCATATTAACATAGAGTTTATCTGCTGCACACGTCACTTTCTTCTTGGTTAACCTTGGACAGGTTGTGATGAAACACGTAAAGCCTTGTTCAAACTTCATGTCTCTCTCTGCCAAAAACTTCTGAATCTCGGATGTAGTCACAACCTCCTCTTCGAAAAAAGTTAATGTTCTTTGTAAAATGACGACACTGAACATTATGAGGTGAGCGGTGGGTCGGTGATGAACGGCTCCATGCACAACGCCCTTGCCTTGTAACTGCACTAAAGCTTGTTCCAGAATTGTGACAACAAATTTGAGGAAGACTAGCATGACACAAACTCTGACATGTTGAAATATTTCTCAAAGGCACTGAACATATATGAGGTATCAACCGTGACATTAAGGAGGTAGAATGGCAAGGGGGTTTCAGGAAAAATAAGGAAAGCATCGGTTTCTTTGAAGAAATTCGGGCAGGTGCAGATCTTTTCACCTTCACACATTCACACTGACAATGCAAACGTCCATCAATTTCATGGGCACCTGTTGCTGGATTTGTGTCCAATTTGTGATTAAAACGACCGATATTTTCACAAGACATGTTTGAATTCACACATTTTGACCAAATTCCTGCTTCATGCGATGTCAAGGAAGAGCCATCACTTCTACTGAGATGACTTGGATATTCAGTCAGCATTCGTTGTTTAAAAAATATGTGTTTATGATCATACAAATCACACAATAGTGTCTTATACACGTAACTTGTTTGTCGGTGTTTTATGCATGTGTTTTCGCTGGAACTCAAGTAAACACATGTCCCTGTCAAATATTTCTTGATACATGCTGTGTAGGCAACTGTCAGGCATGACATCGTGGTTTGCTGGTCAAGTTTCCATGTCAACTAGAACAGCTGACCAAGGAGTTCCTGGAAACAGTACAAAAACAGAAACATCAGTATTACTTGCGCTGAAGGGGTCGTTTGTCGGCACAGGTACATACCCCAGGTATGGTTCTGTATACAGATATGTACCCTAAACAAAGTCAAAATACAGAAACGTACCCGGTACCCTAAAAGGCGGACGAGCCCCATATTCCACAGTCCAAAACCCAAACCGCATGTAGTTGTTCCCGTTCAACTGATTGCGATAGGTATCCATATGCATCGCAAAATATCTGTTACTGTGTATTCTCATTACTTACCTAACGCAATCAAAAGTATCTAATACAACAGCATGACAGTTCCGATCAAGAATACGACGCAATGGGAATGGAATCGTCCTAGGGTACGTTTCTGTATTCGCATTATGGCCAGGGTACATATCTGAATATAGAAACGTATAGTTTGGCACGAAATGCATGTGGACCTGGATTTTTGTAAATATCTCTTCATCCAATGACCCAATCGATCTCAAACTGTGCAAGTGGATGTTTTGTCAGACAACATAATCACATTGTAAATCACCGATTTTATGCATTTGTATTAGAGAATCTGTCTATGTAACTGTCAACAAAATAAACAGCAGAACGCAGACGGCTTGCAGAGGAAGGGAGCCAATGACCTGTAACAGCGGCAGTGTTGGGTCATAAAGGTCAACATTCGTCAATGTAGGTCAGCTATGCACGTGACAGGTATGAAGAGGTGGCACAGGTCGTGAATGGGGTAAGGTGGGTGCCAACTGTTAACCATCATACGGAGTTTGCTTTTCTGAGTTGTTCAACATGAACCACAAAACCCATTAGTGAGAATTATTCTGTAGGTTAAAATCTTTAAATTTGTAATGTTAATGTCATATTTTGTTTATGCAGTACCTAAGTGGAAATGCATTTAAAGAACACAGAAAGTATATTTAAACTAAATCATTAATCGGACCACCTATGGTTAGAACTCAACAACTGTTAAAGCCCCGTTCCCTCGGACACAAGCACACACAATCATGCACACTCATGGAAGAAAAGATAGAATGAAGACAAAAGTGTTATGTTTTGATGTCGTTCACATTCCAAACTAAGCAATGCATTTCTAATAGCTTTAAGCATATAGATAGTTAATATTTATATTTTCATGATAATTTTATGTGAAATGAGCGTTTCATGTTACACTATAAGTCGTTGGAATTAGCCAGTGCTGTCATTGTTAAAAGAAGTTATATTTCTTTGAGCATATCAGGCTGGATACTATTATTATCTGTAAATATAATAACAGAATTAAACTTCATCAAGTTCACTCCATTCTTCCACAGAGGAGTCATCAGTGTCCAGACGAATGACAACTGGATTAACTGTTTGTTCCTTCAAGCCATCTTTGAGCCAGTACGCTTTCTCCACCTTCTTGACATGTTCAACACATGCATGCCAGCGTGCAATGTCAATGTCACATATAGCAGTGTTGACAATGTGCTTGACATCATTCAACTTGAATGATTGATTTTTCCAGGCCACTGTACTTTTAAGGTCTCCCCAGATAAGTTCGACTGGATTGAGATCACAGTGGTACGGCAGTAATCTCAAGAGTGAGTGAGTGAGTTTAGTTTTACGCCGCACTCAGCAATATTCCAGCTATATGGCAGCGGTCTGTAAATAATCGAGTCTGGACCAGACAATCCAGTGATCAACAGCATGAGCATCGATCAGCGCAATTGGGAACCGATGACATGTGTCAACCAAGTCAGCGAGCCTGACCACCCGATCCCGTTAGTCGCTTTTTACGACAAGCAGTCGCCTTTTATGACAAGAATGGGTTGCTGAAGACCTATTCTACCCCGGAAGTAATCTCAAGACCGTATGGCCATGTTGGCGTAGCATGTTGTCAATGTTATATGTGGGTGGAGGTTTGTTAGGTTTAATCAAAGAGTACAACTGTGGTTTAGTGGCCTTAACTGAAAATTGTATATTGTTATTTGTTAGCCATTGCTGCATATCTGACTTCTTTGTATTGGAAGTTGGGCACCTATTGTTTGGATCTCGAACACTGTGATAGGGAGCATTGTCCATGACAAGAAGACTTTTGTAAGGCAGAGCTGGCAACAATTGTTCCTCAACATACTGTGTGAAAACCGTTGAGTTCATTTCTGTATGATAGTCCCTACCATCTGTGCTCTTTGACCGAAATACCAGATCACACCCAGGCAGGAATCCACGGTGGGAACCAGCATGAAGAACGATTAAACGTTCACCTTTGCCTGTTGGTATTTTAATACCATCACTGGGATCAGTGGGTAGCCACTGTCTGGCAGCAGAATGGTTTGCATTGACCCAGGTCCCATCCAGATATATAGGTTCGAGCCCATCCTCTCTTGCCTGCTTAATTTCTCTCAGATAGTTAAACCTTATTTTCACAATATCAGATCTCTCACACATTACAAGTTTCTGGTTTGCTAACTTCTTGTACTTGTATCCAAATTTGAGCAGTAGTTTGCTTAGCATAAACCTAGAAACATTAATGTCGTGATCCTCTGCAAGGATGTGTTTTAACTTTCTTGTGGACGTGTTCATTTCTAGCAAATAGCCGGCGAATGACATCTCTGATGACCCTGAGGTCAAAAGAATCTAACTTTGGATGCCTACCTTTTTGTACAAGGTTTTGTTTATTGGCTGTTGGTTTATTTTTCACAATTTTTAGCACGATGTTCTTTTTCATGCCAAGAGCAAAAGTCGTACGTTTCATGTAATCCGACACCTTATAAATCGGTTTGCTACGTTTGCTCTCTTTTCAAAAAAAATTCAACACATTTCTAATTGAACGTTTAGCATCATCTGAATAAGCTTTCATGATGACAGCTAGAAGTAGTCAATGTGAATGATCCAAACGGTCTATCACTGTGCAGTGCACAGGTAACTATCATGAACTGCACATGCATTTACCTTTATGACCCATCACTGCTGCTGCTACAGGTCATTGGCTCCCTCCCCCTGCAAGCCGTCTGCGTTCTGCTGTTTATTTTGTTGACAGTTACATAGACAGATTCTTTAATACAAATGCATAAAATCGGTGATTTACAATGTGATTAGGTTGTCTGACAAAACATCCACTTGCACAGTTTGAGATCGATTGGGTCATTGGATGAAGAGATATTTACACAAAAAACCAGGTCCACATGCATTTCATGCCAAACTATAGTTGGTGGAATGAACGATTTACCCACTACTGCACTGACGCTTAGTCTCAGAAAATATATTATTTTGATAAACCAAATACATTCAATTTGTAACTTTAACTATTTTAAAATTGATTTGATTTACAAATGTGATTAGGTTGTCTGACAAAACATCCACTTGCACAGTTTCAGATCGATTGGATCATTGGATGATGAGATATTTACAAAAAAACGGGTCCACATGCATTTCATGCCAAACTATACCTGGGGAACATATCTGTAGTACCCGTGCCGACAACGACCCTTTCAGCATTACTTGCAAATATCTAAATCTCTGAGCAGCTTCAAGTAGATTCGTTCTATAAATAGTATTCTTCGTAAAGAGTTGGGTGTCGAGAGTTTCAAGCTAGAAAAACTACAATACCAATTGCAAACAATCATAAATTTCGTGAATTTATAAAATAACGGGGCAGGTGCCATCACTTAAATTGTCCGCTCCAAGCGCATTGTGAGCTGCGGACATGGCTGTCTATTCATGACTGCATCAGCAAAAAGAAAACGTGGAAATCACGTGACTCTTGAAATGTCATGAAATATATGCATTTGGTCAACTTACGTCTGTTGATTTCAAACTAATCTGTAGCAACGAGTGTAGGGAATAGAGGTTCATCTGCATTTTTTTACCATGTGCTTCTCGCAGTGTTCTGCATCTGATCAAGGGCCCCCAATCCCGCCAGTCTGCACGCGAGACTGGCAGGGAGGTAACTCTCCCACGATTTACTTTCATGGAGACCACACTGGAAAATGCCATTTGTTTGTTGTTTGCTGCACTCAGCAATATTCCACCTAAATTGGTGGTGTCCGAAATAGTCTGTTGCATGGATACAATACAATCCATCTGTGAAAACCAGCTTTCTGAATGCCCTTCTACAAGGGCCGCTGATCCAGAGCAAATTCCCAGACACCGACGGTTGCTTAGCTTTTCCTCCACGACTACCCGGATGATATCCCAGCTTGACTGGGTTCCGCATTCGCCACCACTCGCCCCTTTCGCCCCTTTCCGTAACCTCCCGAATAGCGTTTACGGAAAGGGGCGAGTGGTGACGAATGGAATGAAGATAATCAGGTTACGGAAAGCCACGAGTAGTTACGAATGGAAGCTGAACACCCCACCCCGGCGATGACTTAGCGTAACACGTGACCGGACTTCTCTTGTTTGTAAATAAACGCACATATTTGTAAATCAAAAGAGACTGGCCTAATGCAAGCTTTTCGGTGCGCTCTTTATAATGGTTTACATTGTCATATATGCGTCTATACAACTGCGACAATAATGTTGATACGACAATAATACATATTAATATCTAAAAGTGGCAATCGTTTGCTCCCCGTGCAGTGGAGCGTAAATGACAGCACGTGGAACCGCACAACCTATGTAAACAAAGAATCGTTACGCAAATCAAAATAGTGTAAGACGTTTGAGAATATTTTCTCAGCGAAACTAAACCTTCTATCGAAGATGTTTATGTAAATGTGTAGACCCGCCATAAATAAAAGATCTAAGAAATATGTATGTATATATATTGAACGGCCTGTGCAATCGTCACATCTCTCTGGCCTGTGGCGACACATGTCATCGGTTCCCAATTGCGCAGATCGATGCTCATGCTGTTGATCACTGGATTGTCTGGTCCAGACTCGATTATTTACAGACCGCCGCCATATAGCTGGAATATTGCTGAGTGCGGCGTAAAACTAAACTCACTCACTCACTCACTCTGGCCTGTGGCAGAGGTACTATGCTGGTAGCAGGGAACTCTGGGTTGGTGAGTGGTTGAACACATCAACCCCAGCTCCGCACAAAAACGTCACCTACTTGAAACTATCTGTACCGACATTAAGCATAAGTCATGGTGATAAAAAATGCAGCACCAAATACTTAAAACTGTGGTCAGTTTAATTACTGGATGGATGTGCTTTTAAACAACATAAAAATCTTACACTATTTCATCCAGTCGGACTATAAGGTGGTGTGTGTGTGTGTGTGTGTGTGTGTGTTGATTTTAATGGAGAAGCTAGACTAACAACTAGTCTCTGAAATGTACATATTTTACAGAAAAAAGCTCATAGTGAAAAATATATAATATAATGAAAAAGAGCCCTGAGACTTTCTTGCCACACTTTCTAGACTTGCGTTGGGTTTCTTGGATATATTTGCAACGGCAGCGACGACACTAGGACACCGTATCAGTCGACATACAATACCGGCGACTATGCGAGCACGTCGACGCTCCTGGGGAGTGTATCTGACTCTTTAAAACCGACGTCGTCCATTGACATGGTCCAGGCGACTTCAACTTGGCTGGTGCGCGATTGGCGACTTGTGATGTTCACCGACGAGATGTTGATAGGGGAAGAGCCATTGCGTTGCTCCAGGATGGTTTGACACAAATATATGCGGCTTGGAGGATTGGTTGTAGCCAGTGTGATTGGTAGACTATGGCAGCAGTTCCAGGCAACCAGTTCAATTCAAAATCATGCCCGCACTGGGAGGCCAAGATCAGCATCACAGCGTGATGACCAGTATGTCGTACAGTTGGCCCTACGTCAGCGCACCGTCACAGCTAGACGTCTGAGAGATGATCTGCGAAGTGCATCTGGTATTGAGGTGTCGGACAAGACCATACAACATTCGATCTCGGCGGCAAGCAGTTCGATCACCTCTACTCCCACCTTCATAGGGCAGCGTGCCGAGACTGGCGTACACGTCACACAGACTGGAGACGTCGCCAGTGGGGGCGTGTCCTCTTCACGGATCAGTCCATTTTTGCGTTGCAGTTCAACGACAGCAGAGTTCGCGTCTAGTGACGGCCAGGTGAAAGATTTGATGACGTCAACGTCAGACAGCGTCACCGTTTGGGCGGTGATTCGGTGATGGTGTGGGGTGTGGTTTCTGTGCACCACGGCTTCTCTTTACGTCGTCCTGCGAAATTTGACTGGTATCAGAATCAGGGACGAAAGTTTGCGTCCGTTTGTTGTTTCTACTCTTCGCCAAATTGCAGCTGGTTCTCTTCTTCAGGATGATAATGCTACGACACATCGGGCCAGGCGTGTGAACCATTTTCTCAGTCAAAATGGCATTGTTAGAATGGACTGACCTGCATACTAGACTGATATGAAACCCATTGAGCATCCTCGGGACGAGTTGGGAAGGAGGGTGAGAGACAACCATCACCAACCTGGTCATCTTCAAGAATTGTTCCAGTTTCTTCAGGCAGAATGGCAGACTGTCCCACAGATGTTTTTTTCGCGATCTGATTGACAGTATGCTTCAACTATGTGCTGCATGTGTAGGACCAAGTGGTGGTTTCACCCCTTATTGACATACCCAGTATTTCCGGAATTGATGAATTTTGAAAGGATGCTTACAATCATTGAGCTTGCATACATCACATGCTTTGCGCACAGTGTTCAACTTTAGGACAACCTAAACCAACTCTACCCATGTTCATGCTTGGAAATTATGTGTTATATGTTTGCTGTGTATAAATAAATGTCATGCTGAAATCTACCTTTGACTCTTAACTCCTTTTGAGCAGTACATTCTTTTGAGCAATACAGAAAGAAGAGCCCGATGAGAAAGATGACTGATTATTCTCCATATGTATTCATGAAATGAAGCGTTCTTTAAAACATATCATTGTTTTGTTTTCATTTTTACTAAATAATAACGGATAACATGATTAACAAATGTATTTACGTGTATGTATTTATTGGACGGGATTCAAAACACTTCGTGTTGGTAAACTAGCCTTGCAACGACATCAGAAGATGATATCCTTTCTGATATCTCTACAATCGCAAGAATGCTCAACCCAAACGTTTCTGAAACGTTTTGGAAACCCCATGGAAAAACGTTTTAGAAGGTTTCTAATGTTTCTCGCCAACGTTTCGTCAAAAGGTTTTTAAAACGTAAAGAACTCCACAAAATAAGGTTTTAAAAGCGATATTTTGAACGTTTTTGAAACGATACGGAAACGTTTCGAAAACGCTTCTGTGTTTAGCAGGGTGACCAGTCCTCGGGTCTGTCACGGTCGTGGGTGCAGCTAAGATTCGTAATTAAATTGTTGGAGCGAAACATTAATCGCCCTGGATCAGCGCCCCTTTAATACTTGCAGAATTCCTCAACTGTAAACCTTACAGTAGCCTGATTTATAAGTCCGGCTAGACGTGGTTTGATGGCAGGTCTGTGGATCACCACCTAGATCACGACATTTAGTTTTAAGTAACACACAACGTACTTGTAGTAATGCTGTCAAGAACCGAAGAATATGTAACAAAACCCCTATCTATTTTACGTGAAATGGACTGGATGTCTTCTGTAATCAAGTACAGAAAGAAGGTGATGCAAACCCGCTGATCAATCATAAAAGTAAAAATGACTTTTGTTCCGTTAATTTTTCTTGAATTAAGATGCGTTTGCCTGACTCAACAGCCTAAAATTACCAGTTTATGACTTGTATTGCAGTTCTTGTTCAGAGTTTCGGACTTTGAGGAGGCAAGACTCGTTTTATTACGATAAACATCTTGATAACCATGGGATCGTCTTGACTGGGAGCCATATTGATATGAAAGGCAGGTGATATGAAAGACGGAAGCTGATTGGTCAATTGAAGGGTCATGGACGGGACATGAACTTATGTAATAGTCACTGATCATGCTGGGATGAAAGTACAGACAGAGTTCCTGTCGAGCTCAGCCGGATGGTTAGTCTGTCTCACAGTCCCTGAACCACATTAATTTCCCTACTGCCAAGCCCTCTCTGCTGTGCTAAAGCCCTAAATAAAGCAAGTCTAGATTGCCTCAGGTTCAGGCCGTCTGCGTTCTGCTGTTTATTTTGTTGACAGTTACATAGACAGATTCTTTAATACAAATGCATAAAATCGGTGATTTACAATGTGATTAGGTTGTCTGACAAACATTCACTTGCACAGTTTGAGATCGATTGGGTCATTGGATGAAGAGATATTTACAAAAAACGGGTCCACATGCATTTCATGCCAAACTATCAGGTTCGTTCGGGTTGGATTACCGTGTACAGAGAGAGTCCCACACCGTCCTACGAACCTTTTGCATTGAAATGCACAATCACTCACTTAACAGTTGGCCATCTACAGGTCACGGGATGTCGGTTGATATCACAGTGATATCTCGGCCGTCTGTATCGCGTGCTCGTCCCCGCCATGTCGTGGTACAAAACCGTGTTAATACTGGGCGTTGTCGGGGCGTTGTTTGTGCAGGTGTATTTCGATGCCACGGTGCCCGAAGCAATCAGCGAGAGATGGACTGCTAAAATTATAGATGCATGTTTAAAGACATATGGCCACACAGTAAGTAACTGCACGTCTGATTACTGACAAGGGAGACCAGTCGTAATGTGTTCGGCATCCATCTTCGGTGTGTCAGTGAGTGAACGTGTGTGTGCGTGCGTGTGTGTGCGTGCATGGGTGTGCGTGCACGAGTGTATGTTAAGGGTTAGGGGTGGTCGTCGTATACAATCGACGCTCGTCTGTAACACCGCTGTTGTGTGTCTCAGCGAAACAGTTGAGCGACTTTGGACCCAGACTGAAGCTGTCTATAGTGTAACATGAGATCGGACACACACAGAGATGTTTGCTACTAGACTGTATTTATTTTCTTATAACGTATATGAGGAAAGATATTTCTATCATCATTATATAATTCACACGCAAACAGAACATTTATTTTATATCTAATAAAACTTTCTAGATTAGCTTGGGAATTGCTTCATAACCTTTCCTCAACAGGGATATTTGACTATCTCCCAGTCTCTGTGTTTAAGCCAAATTTACTACTTCTGAAGGTAGATAGAAAAACCTGTAAAATATCTATATACTGGTAAAGAAAAAGAACTCTCTGTATGTAGAAATGACTTTCATCACTATAAGAATCAGATATATTATCAGGTATTATCATATCGTTACTGTAACACCCCCATTATTCGGAACCCCATGACCAGAACCCCATGTCCAGAACCCCATGTCCGGAGCCCCATGACTTGAGAACCAGAACCCCATGTCCGGAACCCCATGTCCAGAACCCCATGTCCAGAACCCCATGTCCAGGACCCCATGACCAAAACCCCATGACCAAAACCCCATGTCCGGATGCCCATGACCAGAACCCAATGACTGGAACCCCATGACCAGAACCCAATGTCCGGATGCCCATGACCAGAACCCCATGTCCAGAACCCCATGTCCGGAACCCCATGACTGGAACCCCATGACCAGAACCCCATGACTGGAACCCCATGACCAGAACCCCATGTCCGGATGCCCATGACCAGAACCCCATGTCCGGATGCCCATGACCAGAACCCCATGTCCAGAACCCCATGACTGGAACCCCATGACCAGAACCCCATGTCCGGATGCCCATGACCAGAACCCCATGTCCGGATGCCCATAACCAGAACCCCATGTCCAGAACCCCATGACTGGAACCCCATGACCAGAACCCCATGTCCGGATGCCCATGACCAGAACCCCCTGACCGGAACTCCATTATTTGGAACCCCGCGACCTGGAGCCCCATGACTGGAACCCCATGACCAGAACGCCCTGACCGGAACTCCATTATTTGGTACCCCGTGACCTGGAACCCCATGACCAGAACCCCATGTCCGGAGCCCCATATCCAGAACCCCATGTCCAGACCCCATGACCAGAACCCCATGACTGGAACCCCATGTCCGAAGCCCCATATCCAGAGCCCCATGACCAGAACCCCATGTCCAGAGCCCCATGACCAGAACCCCATGTCCAGAGCCCAATATCCAGAGCCCCATTTCCAGAGCCCCATGACCAGAACCCCATATCCAGAGCCCCTTGACCAGAACCCCATGTCCAGAGCCCCATGACCAGAACCCCATGTCCGGAGTCCCATGTCCAGAGCCCCATGACCAGAACCCCATGTCCGGAGCCCTTTGTCCAGAGCCCCCTGACCGGAACTCCATTATTTGGAACCCCATTAATTGGAACCCCATAACCAGAACCCCCTGACCGGAACTCCATTATTTGGAACCCCATTAATTGGAACCCCATAACCAGAACCCCCTGACCGGAACTCCATTATTTGGAACCCCATTAATTGGAACCCCATAACCAGAGCCCCATGTCCGGAACCCCATTATCCGGAAGTCTATTTTAAGGGCATTGGACCGAATTTTGCGGTACGTGGGAGACCTATATAATGGTGTTTTGTACGCAAAATCAAATAATAATGGTAAGCATAAAATATTCCTTCTTGTTTATATTTGTATGACATTTTTTCAGTAATTAATCTCCAAAAAGGGTCATGGTATGATATAGGAACGTGTTCTCTACACTTCCATGTTCATAGTAGCCAGAGAAGTTGGGTTGACACGTTCTGTTGCTGTGGGGTCTATAACATTACGATTATAATCAGCTTGTTCCCCTGTTTGTGCATTTGTCACCACCCCACACGTTTTCCATCTCCCTTCAGGTGTCCTTGATGTCCATATTTGGGTATGGGGATGTATTTTCTGCGAGGGCCCGGAAGCTTGGAGACCAGTTTGCCTTGATCCAGACGACGGGGTCGCCATGGGGACTTGGTGAGGACCAGGAGCTGAAGGTGAGCAGGCTGCTGCTGACTGCTGGGTACTCCAGGGAGATGAGGCAGTTACAAATTGAGGGAGGTGCGCAGACGACACGTTGATACCGGGGCTTCCGGGTCTACAGATGAAGGGCGGTGGTTGACCACCCGGTCCCACGAGGGGCAAGATCGATGTAAATCCTAAAGTATGTCCCATGAAATATATACTAAAACAACTGCAATTAAAGAAATTCCATTTTGGGGAGGGGGACTGGAGCTTCCACATGTACAAAAGGGACATTTCTCGAAACCCATGATTAGTTCATCCGGAGAAAAAACGAGTGTACAGTAGTCAGTAATGTCCGCTGTATCCTTGCCTGTATGATCCCCAATAACTGGTAATTAGATTTTTGTCCAAAATCCAATTGTGAATTTCATAATTTAACTACACCAACAAACGTCGCCATCTCGTGTGATTCTATCGTTCCACTTGGGCGGTGGGTAGACCCGGGTTCGATTCCCCACACGGGTACAATGTGTGAAGCTCATTTCTGGTTACCCCTCCGTGATAATCCTGGAATATTGCAAAGAGCGGCGTAAAACCATACTCACTCACTTTCGTTCCACTTGAAAGTGAGGAAAGAAGGCTGCTTTAATGATTGAGCATGTAGCGACGAGTCAGACACACGGGCTACGGTATTCATCTCACGACACAGACCTTCGAAAATTCGAACCGGTAGAGAGGAAAGGGGAAACAACTCGTGTTGGACTATTTTCCGGAGAGTCACATTTCAGATTCACCGTGTCCAGGTAACAAGGGTTCAACGATAGTCAGCTTCACAGTCTCTGAACCACATTCTATTCCGCACCGCTCTTTCTGTAATGTCAAATCCCCTGCTGTGGTTCGTCTAGATTTTCCTCTGGTCTGAATATCCCATGTACCTTGTCCTCATTTTCAATTTAGATACAGTTGTTTGTTTCTGTCAAAATTAAAATTAAATTTAAGTGTCAGTCTCGTGTAAAGAAAGGGGCATTTCTGTCTTCCTCTTATCTACATAGGTATGAATAATTGCCAATATGGAGTTTTCTTCCAACGGAAGTCTTTTTAAAAGTCAATTTAGGATTTGACATATTTGTGTAATATTTGATACAGGGTTAACGTGTCCAATATTAAAGAAAACTTGACATTTATCTCAACGAAACACTTTGATGTTTACAGGTTGTCTGAACATCTTAGTGTGGGGAATATGTATTTTACAGATACACGACGACCAGTTTGATGGTGTCCCGGTGCGAGTGTACGAGCCTGTGGCGGATCTGGCCGCCTCCAGCAGGCCTGTGGTAGTCTACTTCCATGGTGGAGGATGGAGTCTCCTGTCTGTTGGTAGGTTACGTCAAGGTTTGATAAATAGAGGTTGACAGATATACAGAGTTAATATAGCCAGAGGATAGACAGATATACAGGGCTGATGTAGACAGAGGTAGACAGATATACAGAGTTAATATAGCCAGAGGATATAGACAGATATACAGGGTTGATGTAGACAGAGGATAGACAGATATACAGGGTTGATGTAGACAGAGGTAGACAGATATACAGGGTTGATGTAGACAGAGGTAGACAGATATACAGAGTTAATATAGCCAGAGGATATAGACAGATGTACAGGGTTGATGTAGACAGAGGAAAGACAGATATACAGAGTTAATATAACCAGAGGATATAGACAGATATACAGGGTTGATGTAGACAGAAGATAGACAGATATACAGGGTTGATGTAGACAGAGGATAGACAGATGTACAGGGTTGATGTAGACAGAGGATAGACAGATGTACAGGGTTGATGTAGACAGAGGATAGACAGATGTACAGGGTTGATGTAGACAGAGGATAGACAGATATACAGGGTTGATGTAGACAGAGGATGTAGACAGATATACAGAGTTCATATAGCCAGAGGATATAGACAGATATACAGGGTTGATGTAGACAGAGGATAGACAGATGTACAGGGTTGATGTAGACAGAGGATAGACAGATAGACATGATTGATGTAGACAGAGGATAGACAGATATACAGGGATGATGTAGACAGAGGATAGACAGATGTACAGGGTTGATGTAGACAGAGGATAGACAGATGTACAGGGATGATGTAGACAGAGGATAGACAGATGTACAGGGTTGATGTAGACAGAGGATAGACAGATGTACAGGGATGATGTAGACAGAGGATAGACAGATATACAGGGTTGATGTAGACAGAGGATAGACAGATATACAGGGATGATGTAGACAGAGGATAGACAGATGTACAGGGTTGATGTAGACAGAGGATAGACAGATATACAGGGTTGATGTAGACAGAGGATAGACAGATGTACAGGGTTGATGTAGACAGAGGATAGACAGATACAGGGTTGATGTAGACAGAGGATAGACAGATGTACAGGGTTGATGTAGACAGAGGATAGACAGATGTACAGGGTTGATGTAGACAGAGGATAGACAGATGTACAGGGTTGATGTAGACAGAGGATAGACAGATGTACAGGGTTGATGTAGACAGAGGATAGACAGATGTACAGGGTTGATGTAGACAGAGGATAGACAGATATACAGGGTTGATGTAGACAGAGGATAGACAGATATACAGGGTTGATGTAGACAGAGGATAGACAGATAGACATGATTGATGTAGAAAGAGGATAGACAGATATACAGAGTTAATATAGCCAGAGGATATAGACAGATATACATGATTGATGTAGACAGAGGATAGACACATGTACAGGGTTGATGTAGAAAGAGGATAGACAGATATACAGGGTTGATGTAGAAAGAGGATAGATAATTAGAGGGAAGGTAGATACACAAGGTGGATATGAAGGGTAGATAAATAGCCGAGGAGGCTATCGAGGGTATTTTAAGCTATTTAGGTAGAAAGGATAGTTACTATAAAGGGTATTCATATACAGAGGGTAGATATATAGAGAAGGCAGATATAGAATAGATGAAGATCTGTGAAAATGTACGGAGTTCTCTGTTTTCTATGGAGTGGGTAGATAGCCAGTATTTGTCCTTTGAAGGAATACATGTTTATCTTATTGGATGACCCGAAAGAGCTGATATTGTCGTAGACAAGAACAGATGAATGTTCTGTTTACTGATAACGTATAATCTTCAAGAGTGAGTGAGTGAGTTATTATTTAACGTCACATCGGCAATATTGCAGCCATATCGTGACGATAATCTTCAAGAGGGTAATCTGAAAACCAATGTGTCATTGCGACAGACTGAAAGTAGTTCCGGCATAACGTGTTGTTTTCCTTTATTTTATATTTTGCATATGAATATGATATTAAATCACTAATTATGTCATTATTTTGGCAAACATATGCAGTAATATGTATAGTATCTGTTAAACGAGTTAATTAAATCAATCCAGTAGCACGACCGTAATGAGAATTCTACGTGTCCCACTGACGTCTCCCACTGACGTCTCCCACCGACGTGTCCCACTGACGTCTCCCACCCACGTTTCCCACCGACGTCTCCCACTGACGTCGCCCACCGACGTGTCCCACCGACATCTCCCATCGACGTCTCCCACCGACGTGTCCCACTGACGTCGCCCACCGACGTCGCCCACCGACGTGTCCCACCGACGTGTCCCACCGACGTCTCCCATCGACGTCTCCCATCGACGTCGCCCACGGACGTGTCCCAGCGACGTGTCCCACTGACGTCTCCCACCGACGTGCCCCACCGACGTCTCCCACCGACGTGTCCCACCGACGTGTCCCACCGACGTCGCCCACCGACGTCTCCCATCGACGTCGCCCACCGACGTGTCCCAGCGACGTGTCCCACTGACGTCTCCCACCGACGTGTCCCACCGACGTGTCCCACCGACGTGTCCCACCGACGTCGCCCACCGACGTCGCCCACCGACGTGTCCCACCGACGTGTCCCACCGACGTCTCCCATCGACGTCTCCCATCGACGTCGCCCACCGACGTGTCCCACTGAAGTCGCCCACCGACGTGTCCCATCGACGTCTCCCACTGACGTGTCCCACTGACGTGTCCCACCGACGTGTCCCACCGACGTGTCCCATCGACGTCTCCCACCGACGTCTCCCATCGACGTCTCCCACCGACGTGTCCCACTGACGTGTCCCACCGACGTCTCCCATCGACGTGTCCCACCGACGTGTCCCACCAATGAGTCTCACTTACGTGAGCAACCGATGTATCACGCCGATATATCTAACGATGTGACCCAAAGACGTGTCCGACTGACGTGTCGCACCAACGTGTCCCACTTACGTGACCCACTGACTTTACCCACCTACGTGACCGGACAACGTGTCCTGCCTTTGTGATCCACTGACGTGTCCCACCTACGTGACCCACTGACTTTACCCACCGACGTGATACATATTTGCCATCGAGAAATCTTAAATTCTTTATTCTCAAATCATTAAATTCTGGACGTTGTAGTAAAATATGAAATTCATCCTGAACGTGTCTGCTGTTACAATGGTTACATAAAGTGTGCTGTCTTTCAGCATCCTTGTTTCGTTTGCTGCATTCACATTCAAATTATGTAGAGAAATTAGGGATTTACAAAATACCTTCAGTAACGTCTTATCACGAAACAGGTATGAAATATACGCTTCAGGGTAAAATCCTAATTTTAAAAGACTATAATTACTCTCAAAATGTGAACCTTGTGACGTTACCCACTGAGGCATGTGTAATGACTTCACTGTGGAGTTTTCTCTACACCAGATGCGTACGACCCACTCACCCGGAAGCTGGCTAAGGACACGGGGTATGTCGTCATCTCGGTAGAGTAAGTATTCCTGGCTGCTTAATAAAGAGTGAGTGAGTTAGGTTTGGGTGGCTGAGTGAGTCAGTGGCGGAATTGATTGAAGGGTGGTGTGTGATTGATTGATTGATTGATTGATTGATTGAGAGGGTTCAGCTTGAGTGATTGAGTCACATTCCAGGTACAATATGACCTGTGCAATATCGCACCTGGACCTGACAATCCAATGACGTCATCAGGTAATCTAGCCAGCCTGAGTCTGACTTTCCGGATAAGTTTGTTGCCTCGGAGACAAACCCAGGTTACGAGCATGTATTACAGAGTGTGTACGTCACGTGGTAAACTCGATATACCTAATGCTTTCAACTCGGCCTACATCACATGTGATAAACTCGATATACCTAATGCTTTAAACTCGGCCTACATCACATGTGGTAAACTCGATATACCTAATGCTTTAAACTTGGCCTACATCACATGTGATAAACTCGATATACCTAATGCTTTAAACTCGGCCTACATCACATGTGATAAACTCGATATACCTAATGCTTTAAACTCGGCCTACATCACATGTGATAAACTCGATATACCTTATGCTTTAAACTCGGTCTACATCACATGTGATAAACTCAATATACCTAATGCTTTAAACTCGGCCTACATCACATGTGATAAACTCGATATACCTTATGCTTTAAACTCGGCCTACATCACATGTGGTAAACTCGATATACCTAATGCTTTAAACTCGGCCCTACATCACATGTGGTAAACTTGGCCTACATCACATGTGGTAAACTCGATATACCTAATGCTTTAAACTCGGTCTACATCACATGTGATAAACTCGATATACCTAATGCTTTAAACTCGGCCTACATCACATGTGATAAACTCGATATACCTTATGCTTTAAACTCGGCCTACATCACATGTGATAAACTCGATATACCTAATGCTTTAAACTCGGCCTACATCACATGTGATAAACTCGATATACCTAATGCTTTAAACTCGGCCTACATCACATGTGATAAACTCGATATACCTAATGCTTTAAACTCGGCCTACATCACATGTGATAAACTCGATATACCTAATGCTTTAAACTCGGCCTACATCACATGTGGTAAACTCGATATACCTAATGCTTTAAACTCGGCCTACATCACATGTGGTAAACTCGATATACCTAATGCTTTAAACTCGGCCTACATCACATGTGATAAACTCGATATACCTAATGCTTTAAACTCGGTCTACATCACATGTGATAAACTCAGATATACCTATATACCTAATGCTTTAAACTCGGCCTACATCACATGTGATAAACTCGATATACCTAATGCTTTAAACTCGATCATGTGATAAACTCGATATATATGCTTTAAACTCGGCCTACATCACATCGTGATAAACTCGATATACCTAATGCTTTAAACTCGGCCTACATCACATGTGGTAAACATCACATGTGATAAACTCGATATACCTTATGCTTTAAACTCGGCCTACATCACATGTGATAAACTCGATATACCTAATGCTTTAAACTCGGCCTACATCACATGTGATAAACTCGATATACCTAATGCTTTAAACTCGGCCTACATCAAATGTGATAAACTCGATCATACTCTAATGCTTTAAACTCGGCCTACATCACATGTGATAAACTCGATATACCTAATGCTTTTTAAACTCGGCCTACATCACATGTGGTAAACTCGATATACCTAATGCTTTAAACTCGGCCTACATCACATGTGATAAACTCGATATACCTATGCAAACTGATGCCTACATCGGCCTACATCACATGTAAACTCGATATACCTAATGCTTTAAACTCGGCCTACATCACATCATATACCTATGTGATAAACTCGATATACCTAATGCTTTAAACTCGGCCTACATCACATGTGATAAACTCGATATACCTAATGCTTTAAACTCGGCCTACATCACATGTGATAAACTCGATATACCTAATGCTTTAAACTCGGCCTACATCACATGTGATAAACTCGATATACCTAATGCTTTTAAACTCGGCCTACATCACATGTGATAAACTCGATATACCTAATGCTTTAAACTCGGCCTCATCACATGTGATAAACTCGATATACCTAATGCTTTAAACTCGGCCTACATCACATGTGATAAACTCGATATACCTAATGCTTTAAACTCGGCCTACATCACATGTGATAAACTCGATATACCTAATGCTTTAAACTCGGCCTACATCACATGTGATAAACTCGATATACCTAATGCTTTAAACTCGGCCTACATCACATGTGATAAACTCGATATACCTAATGCTTTAAACTCGGCCTACATCACATGTGATAAACTCGATATACCTAAAACTCGGCCTACTCACATAAACTCGGCCTACATCGGCCTACATCACATGTGATAAACTCGATATACCTAATGCTTTAAACTCGGCCTACATCACATGTGATAAACTCGATATACCTAATGCTTTAAACTCGGCCTACATCACGTGTGATAAACTCGATATACCTAATGCTATAAAACCGGCGTACATCACATGTGAAAAACACGGTGTAGGTCATGTGATAAACCCGGTGTAAACCATGTGCTCTAAACTCCTACTAACTCGATCCTGAAGCTCCGTCCTCAGTCATGTGACACGAATCTGGGATTGCGGTCTGTGCCTGCTGTCTGCAGATAAACGAGGCTGGACCAGACAGACGGGTGACTGACGTCATTATATTGATCCCCCGAGGCAGCGATCCTGACTATGCGATCATGTTAGTCCCCTCTTGTGAATTGCTGTAATTGTTAATGTTCATGTCATTCTGGCTGTCAGGGAAAGGTTCTAAATGAAAATATTGTACTTCTCTCTGTATTGGGTAAACCATCAAAATCAACCCATAGCCTTATAGATAAAATTATCAGTAAAGATATAAAAGCAGATTTCCTTAACCGGTTCAGCAATGTGCCGGAGTGTTGTCTTGTGTGTGTTTAGATGCAACGACCGGCTGAATCATTTTCTTCTGTAATGTCTAAATGATTTCCACAGAGGCATGCTCTGGTTTCATAATTCAAGACTTCATTTGTTGCTGATCTAACTGTCTGGAGTTTATATCCTTGAGTCCCGAAGTATTCATTAACCCTGAGGCCTATTTAACGAACCCGTGAAGGTTCTGGTTAGAATGAGCCTTCAGCAACCCATGCTTGTCGTAAGAGGCGACTAACGGGATCGGGTGGTCAGGTTCGCTGGTTTGGTTGACACATGTCGTCAGTTCCCAGTTGAACAGATCGATGCTCATGCTGTTGATCACTGGATTGTCTGGTCCAGACTCGGTTATTTACAGACCGTCGCCATAGAGTTGGAATATTGCTGAGTGCCGCGTAAAACTAAAATCACTAACTCACTCACTCACTCACTCACTCACTCTATTTAACGAAATAGAGTCGAGAGAAATTACCCTGGGTAATCGAAGATGATCCAGTTTAATGTCGAGTTTTGTTGGCAGTTACCGCCTGGCTCCGGAACACCCATATCCAGCTGCCTTCGACGACTGTGTGAAGGTTGTGGAATATATTCTGGAGAACAGCCAAGACCTGGGACTAAATCCTGCACGTGTAGCCGTGGCAGGAGACAGTGCGGGTGGTAATTTGGCTGCTGCTGTATCCCTCCGTCTCAAAGAAGAGATTCGTGTGCAGATTCTACTCGTTCCTGTTCTTCAAGTCCTAAATTTCAACACGACCGGTTTTATTGAAAATGCTTCGTATATGAGAAAATCCATCAATGACCCAAACAACGTTCTATTTTGGCTGAATTATGTTGGAATTGATTTCAAATACCTCTCTGAGTTTCTTTCCAATAACCATACTTCTGTTGAAATGAAAAATTCAAAATACGCTGAATACGTCGATCCTGACAAGCTAGTACCTAAGTATTACATACGTACCCTAGCATTGAGAAACACAGAACAAAGAAAAGATTTCGGTAACAAAGAATTATGGGAAAAGATCAAAGAGCGTCTCCTTGATCCCTACTTGGCACCATTGATGGCAGACGACGCCATGTTGAGACGAACTGCGCATGCGTACGTGATGACAGCCGGATATGACATCATCAGAGATGACGGTATTATGTACGTGTCACGACTGAAAGCCGTTGGTACGAAAGCAATTATCAGGAACTTCCCGGAAGCTTTCCACCATGCTCTGTGGTTCCACAGCGGACCTCTCCGGGTTAACGTCGGTACCAGGATTGTGAGGGATGTCACTAACTTCTTGAAGAACCACCTATAGCAACCTGTTGTGAGGGGTGTCACTAACTTCTTGAAGAACCACCTATAGCAACCTGTTGTGAGGGGGTGTCACTAACTTCTTGAAGAACCACCTATAAATGAAACAAAGAACTTTTTTATTTATTTATGCCTCAAATCGTATTTTGCTGTGCTATCGTCCCTTATCACGTTACTGCAGCCACGTGATAACACTGCTTCCCATAACCATGGGCTGATTGGGTAAGTGCCATCCTAATCCAGAATTAAATATTAAGGTACCAATAACAGAGGCGTCTTTGTTTTCATGTGACTCAAGATTGAGTCTGTTGTAGGAACCACGTGGGGAGGTTATTACCAGAAACACACCCTGTCAATAGACAGCGTCCCCGGACTGCCTGCATTCACTCACCCACTCACTCACTCACTCACTCACATCATGATATATTCCCATAGAGATAACTGTACTGTGCCGAAATGCCGTTAAAGGTATATTTCTCGCATATCGCATGCGTCTCACATTAAGGCGGAAGTTGAGGGGCACAGTGGACTAATAAACTTTTCAACAACTGAAGTACAGTCAGCAAAAAAGAAATGAAATGGTCGGACCTGACCAACTTTCACGACTGTAGAGTGCGAACTATTAACGCCTCGAGTTAGTGAGTGAGTGACTGAGGTTAGTTTTACGCCGATTTTAGCAATATCCAATTGTATCACGGAAATGGTATACACTGTACTACATTTTAGGAAATAGATCCCTCGTTTTAGCATTAAAAACGAAATGTTAAAGTCACCCTTTAGCTGTTAAAGCAATGTGTTGCATAATCTGGTGTACATTAGAAAGCCAGACAGTACACACAACCCAGTCAAAAAGCTACGGCACACAGCAATAAAGGAAATCACGTTGTCTTCTCTGAGGTCCGCGCCAATGTACATGGCTCCTAATCTCCTCGGAGGCGCAGTTCAACTGTGAACTGCGTGGTGAGTTCCAATTGCTATGTTTCGTACAAGTGGATGCGGTTGGTATTGATTCGCGTATTTCTACATGATCGGCAACTGCAGACACGGCTTTGTGGTTTTATGTTCCCGAAAATACACCAACCCAAAGACATGTTATGGTTTTAAGTGGTAATAAAGGAAACAGACTGGAAATTGTTTCGAAAGTAATTGTAGGCCATATTTAGATGTCGGGATTCGGAAGGATTTGTGGGCATCAGATTCTATGATAACAGAATTTGATTTAAGATCTGCATATCTTCATTCGCCAAGTGATCTTTCCGACATGCAACTCCATGTCTGTGGAATTAATTAATTCTGATTAAAGTTCCAAATATCGCATCTCTTCAAGAGCACCCGTTACTAACTCTTTAATACCCCAATGTATATTGTGATGTATATTGTGATGTACTAGTATATTGTGATGTATATTGTGATGTATATTGTGATGTATATTGTGATGTACTAGTATATTGTGATGTATATTGTGACGTATATTGTGATGTATATTGCCCTCTGATTTTATTGTAGCATCAAGAGCATGCAGAAGTGCGTGGATATAGGCACATTATATAATTTGGGGATTCAGGAATAGAAACTTAACTTAAATCCCAGTGGTTGTGTCCCTCTGAGGATTCCAACACTGAATAGGTTATCGCGACGATCCCTGGGTGGAACAGATCCTCAGCAAGGCCCTAGTACGTCTAGTAAGTGGAAGTCAGTTATAGAGTGAAAGCACCGCCCTTCCATTATACTAAACTACCCATGCCCCATTGTCTCCAGTCGCTTCTAGTCACAGCTGACACAGCGTTACAGGCGTCCAGTCACTCCAATAAACAAGTTCTGTGTTCAGTTGCGCGTTAATCTTCCCGTTCAGCGTGACTGAAATGAAGAGGTCAATTCCAAATCAAACTTGTAATGGCGAAGGTGTCCAACCTATGCATAATAAGAATACATGTCAACCCTAGTTGGTCGAGTGGATAACGTTAGCTAGCCATGCACACGGTCCGGGTTTGTTTCCTTCTATTCATACAATGTGAAGACAATTCCAGTGGTTGCTTGAATGTTGGAGGTAGGGTGTGAGAGAAACTCAAGTCAATGTTCAGAGCAGACAGTTCTGACAGAAACACATGGATGTTGTAACAATGTTTTATTTCGGTTTTAATAGCTTCCTATTTACATTCATAGTATTAAATAACATCTGTCAGCTATTTACAACTATTACATGCATAAACTGTCAAATATATGGCATTCTTACAACCAGAACTCACCACCTCGCATGGAAGCATATCAACGATTGGCATACCTCACATCTCTACAGTTGTGTACATGTGCCTACACTGCCATGTGTTTAATGAATGTATTATCGGAGCTCTGTCTAAGTTTTTACTCATCAATCTATAACTCCCGAGCAAAGCTCCATAAAGGCCAAACCAACTTGACATGTAAAAATGACCAATCTCTGAACACTTTACGGAACTCGTGTCTTTCCGGGACAAGCCAGATCGTCTCTAGCAGAGTCACGGAACGGACCGATAACGATTACACTCGTCACCATCCGCTCTTTTCCGTAACCGACTTCCGGCATTTCTCGGAAAATACAATTTGTTACGAACTAAAACAAAACTACTATCCACTCATAGTTGTTTATAAAGGTTGTTATTAATTTCATTCATATATATCTGTATCATGCAACTCTAACGAACATTTTAAATACAGTTCAGTTCTAACTTCAAGTAGGTGTGTCTGACCAAACATTCATGTAACCATGCAGTCACAGGTGAGTGTGACACGTTATCAGGGAGTCCTGATTCCTCGTCCTTGACTGGGCCAAGACACACGCATCACTTGAGGAAGAGATGAAGAGGCGCATTAAGTACCATATATTAGATATACACGCTATGATTGTCTCAATGACTAAATATCTCACCTAGAAACGCTAGGAATATGTATGATACAGACCGAGCGGCCTTGTCTCCTGAAAGACGTGTTTTATGGAAGAATGAAACAACTATCTGTTGTATGTCTCTCTCTACACTCTACATCTCGTATCTACATATAGGCCTGCAGCTTCAGGGGTCTATCTTCACATGTCACGCTCAATGTTTCTTAAGGATACTTTTTGTAAGCCACGGATAACTCTGTCGTCTATGGCGTCAAGGTTTTCCGCGAAGAGTTACCTCCCTTTGCAGTAAGAGGATCCACATATGAGGAGTAAGAACCCAGGATTCTCCCGACAAGGATAACAGGCCTGAACCAGAGTTTTCCTTCCCATCATGATTCTAAATGTTTATAGATAATTACGAAAATATTTGTAACGCTGATTAGATGTATGACTTGCAATGTGGATTTTAAATTAAGAGGTCAAGGCCAACGTCTTGGATATCAGTCATAAGGTAAACGTCACGCCGTAATATGCATTATGGTAGCTTTCGTTCGGCCATGATGCTTAGGAAAGTTGGAATATTTGAACCATTATCGACGTTACTGTTCCTGCAAACACTTGTATCTAAGCTCAATATGTACATACATACATTCACTACAGTTAAAGTATCAACAGCTAAACTGTGGTCACGTGACAAACAATACCCTCCTACGGATCAACATCCGGATCTTTGACTTTAATATGTAAATACGAATAATTCACAGTAATGTAAATGCTATCACCCACGTGTGTTTAGAGAGTACAAACATCGACATACTTTGAAGTTTAGCTAACATTGCCATTATAGGAACCACCCCTCTACTCACTGTAACATTTGATTGACATTTCACCCGGACTAACATATGTGACACGATCACAACCACAAGATTCTATGGTTCTTGTCATCTTGAGAAAGGGACACATCCACGTGCATCCTACTTGCGTCTACCGTCCTGACAGGAATTATTTGATCTGGAATTCCACCAATGGCGAGAATCTCGCTTTTTCTCTGTTCAGTTTTGCATACAGCTTGGCGATACATCGTTGTTTACCAGTCACCACCGTGCCTTCCCAGATGGCGTCCGCCAACAATTTAAAATGAAACCAGGCGTCTCCTGTCAGCAGCGCCACATCTGAAGCTAGCGGCGCACGCACTCGGAAGGTCACACGTTTCTCAATTTCAAGGTCACCAACAAAGGGTTCCAGTAATGTACAGTTATGCCATCTGTGACACGCCCTGGGGAACGGCCGTTTGTCCTTGGCTCCCTGCCGACATTCCACGAGGTATCGGAACAAGCACTCATAAGGAACGTTATTCTCAGAGTCGGGGGAACCCATTTTGGCACCAAAGACGGCAAACACGTATTTGCCAACCATGGGGCAGCGCACGAGATATGCGATGGAGTCGTCATCACGCTGTTTGATGAACACATATCGTTGTAGGTCTTCGTTGCTTTTGTCAGCCTCGTTGCCATGGTAATGAAGAGAGTGGGAGAGACGCACGTCTTGGTGAAGATGGAACTGAAACGCCAGATCCTCGTGGGAACACGTGACCACAGGGTCAATGTGAGTCTGGGGGGACAAGCCATAGCTACTCATGCTAGGGGTGGGACCGAAAAATGACACTTTAGGGTAAGGGCTCCGGATGCTCTCCTTCCGTTCTCGACATTTGATCTGGAATGCGCATGCGCTTTGTAACGAGTCCGATACCCAGTCGTCTTTAGCGTATATAGTGAAGTAATAACGCCCGCTTTTAGGGGGTGCCACTGTGAAGATAGCCTTGTGACCTATGATCCGTAGCATGACTCGGCCCTCCAGAGCGGAAGGGTCGATCCGTCTGTCCTTTGGATCCAGGGTGTATCCGAACCCAACTAAACTCGGAATCTTGAGCTGAATTAATGCTACGCCATGTTCAGTCTGTTGCTTGCAGTCGTAGTGCATAGTAAACTTCAGTCCGTAGTTGAAGAATGGGGATTTCACAACAGGAAGATTGATGAATTCGGAGAGAGTGATGGGACACTCTAATAGCTGCCACTCAGGGTCATCTGGGAAGTGTTGGTATATGTGATCCTCGGGGTCTGTCACAAAATAAAACTCGTCACACTTGTATGAAAACAGACTCAAATCGTCCTTCTTGTCCCGAATCCTGACTTGTTGTTTCATGGGACCTTGACCTTTTGTCTGACCTTGACCTACGCCTTTGACGTGGCGGGCTCCCCAGTTACAGTTGACGAAGCACCAGGAGCCGTTTATGAAGACGGCCGTCCACGTGTTGCGGAAACGGTCACCTTCTATCTTCATCCCCGGCCGATACCCGGCGCCCTTAGAATAGCCCTGGATTACTTCACAGTGCAGTCCGGCGTAGCTGAAACATAGAGACCCGGCGTTAGTTATAGAGTGAGTGAGGGAGCCCCGGATTATCTCACAGTGCAGTCCGGCGTAGCTGAAACATAGAGACCCGGTGTTAGTTACAGAGTGAGTGAGGGAGCCCCGGATTATCTCACAGTGCAGTCCGGCGTAGCTGAAACATAGAGACCCGGCGTTAGTTACAGAGTGAGTGAGGGAGCCCTGGATTACCTCACAGTGCAGTCCGGCGTAGCTGAAACATAGAGACCCGGCGTTAGTTACAGAGTGAGTGAGGGAGCCCCGGATTACCTCACAGTGCAGTCCGGCGTAGCTGAAACATAGAGACCCGGTGTTAGTTACAGTGTGAGTGAGGGAGTCGGGGTTTATTGTTACGTCTCGACGTGTAAGATGGAAGACACCCCGAAGTGGTACAGGTCGTTGATGTTTACCACAGCGGTGACAGCTGCGAGCACGTTGACGGAGCTGACGCACCTGTAAACTTAGTCAGGGCGGTGTGGTAAACACGTCACCGACAGAACACCATAACGTGTACATACAACACAATCGCCAGAGAACCGCGTTTGTGTTCACTGTCACAGTCCCAGCGCAACTGAGGAGACTGCGCGATCAAGTATAGGACAGAACAAAAATATCTGAACACACATTCTTTGGGGTAGGAGCGTGCGCAATTACTAGTACATAGTTAACATGGACGACATTTTAACAATATTTTAACTGATTTTACCTTGTCCAGTTTGGATATAACATACAGAATCTGGTACCAATGCCATCCACTGTAATTCTAAAAACTAGATAAGTGTCCACTGTACTCAAGCTATTCCTGTGGATGTATGGCCATGTTTAGATTTTGTAGCAAGATCTCGGGTTTTGGAAGTGTAATGACAGCTAGATTGAAAAGCATGACGTATGTCGTTTGTTGTACAATGTTGTACAACAAACGTCATGCTTTCCAATCCAGCTGTCATTTGTGTTGTATTTTTCTAATGTTATCTTTATTGATGATTAAAGAATATGATGACTATCAACACGCTGTTCAGTCGTACTTTACGGCACACGGAAGATCATTCTCAGGTTGAAAAGGGAAACGTTCTCTAAACCGGCACGCCCTCTCTACCGGCTTGAGTTAATTACCCAAGTTCTTGTTTTTTCGCACCGGTATATCACCCTCAGAAACTCTGTGGAGAATTCGCGCCTACGTGTTATAAGAAGTGTATTTTATTGAATTTTGGCAATTTAGGCAAAAGTCATTAATATGCTAGTGATATGCATGCCTTGCTCGTGTGCTTTCAGCAATATTTCAGCAAAATCACAGCAATTTATCAAGGCATGAATTGCTTCCGTTTATATTTAGATTATTATCTTGAGGAGCGAGTATGTACTGACATTTACAGATCATAATAGGTTCCCAGTGTATCTGATTTCTAAAGTTCAAAGAAACACGATACGTGACGAATATGTAGAATAATGATGAATACTGGAGCAGTGATGAGAGCAGACGAGTCGATGTGAATCAGCAATGTGATACACTGGTCCGTCCTCCCGGCGCCATGCTGGATACAGGGGAGTGTGACCGTTGGTCATTGCAGGAGGGGAGGCGGTGGTGGAAGGAACGTTTTTGCTGACACCTGCAAAATCCGGCAGTTGATGATGCAGCTTGAGTCGTAGTATAACTATCTCGCTATAACATTTACAAAATCCGGCAGTACCTGCAAAAACATTACAAAATCCGGCAGTAGACGATGCAGCTTGAGTCGTAGTATAACTATCTCGCTATAACATTTACAAAATCCGGCAGTAGACGATGCAGCTTGAGTCGTAGTATAACTATCTCGCTATAACATTTACAAAATCCGGCAGTAGACGATGCAGCTTGAGTCGTAGTGTTACTATCTCGCTATAACATTACAAAATCCGGCAGTAGACGATGCAGCTTGAGTCGTAGTATAACTATCTCGCTATAACATTTACAAAATCCGGCAGTAGACGATGCAGCTTGAGTCGTAGTATAACTATCTCGCTATAACATTTACAAAATCCGGCAGTAGACGATGCAGCTTGAGTCGTAGTGTTACTATCTCGCTATAAGATTGACAAAATCCGAAACATCGCAATCTCTTTAAACGAATCACTACATCAGGGCGGTTGTAAAGTCTGGAAGGAGCTACGAAAGTCGTAGGATTATAGGAGTGAGCTGGTGAGTGAATAGGTTGGTTTAATGCCGCTTTCGCCAGTACTCCAGATGATGATGATGATGTACCAGGTAAGCTGGGACTGTACTCGGCTTGTCTCATTCCAGCACGCTGGACAGCACGAGCGGCCATAATGTCCATGCACGCGGTCATCCCTTCACAATGACTGTGACGTAATACAAACTACGACGTCATATGTTGTGTACTCGTTACCAAACAAGGAAGGAAATACCAAGGTAGGCTGTGTCTGTGTTGGGTGACCAGGGGCAACTGCACCATAACACAGACCAGTCGCTGATCGCATGAAGCCTCATATACAATACAAATACAAACTTGCCGCAGAACAGCAATAAGCATTCAAGAACATAACGTTACCCGCACCTCTCGTGGGTGGCTGATTAACAAGCTAAGCTCATTATTACCATAATTATATGCGTGTATTAGGTCGGTTCTTGAGAGACTTTGTGGGAACATATTGGTGAGCAAAGTACCCGTTATAACGCTGATGACAGGTATAAAACAAGTCCACGTCAGATTATTGCGCGGTAACGAGACGTAATAACGGATATAATACACCTTATTACTAACACTACTGATTAAATGACAGTCGAGCAGCCATTAGTTCAATTATGTGGACTACACAACGGAACAACCGGGAAACTACAGATACGTGTTGAAGTAGTTGAAAACCAGGACACACAATGTTCATCAAATAAAATGTCCCTGCTTAATGAAACATGAAAACAACGCTACCTCTTCAAAGGCAAATAGGCGGCATGTAATTTTCGGAATCTTGAGGATATCAGAGGAAACCTCCTCCACGCCCATTAACGTAACTATCTGCATGGTTACCAGAGAATATATATCACTTATACTCGGCCAGTAAAAGCCACGTATTCAGTCCATGTTAGACGGTTCCCGGATCGGAAATTGGTTCAAAGGGTTCTGGGTCGCTGGTCGGTTGTAGAAGACCTGCTGTTCTGGAAGATTTACCCCGAGGAAAAAGGCAGAATGGCAAATAGAGGGATATGTTTACTGTACACGCCACAGAACCACCAGAGACCCAATCCACAAATGGTTCGTAGCACTACGCCATCGTAAGCCCATAATAAAGTATTTACTTACGACAGCTCGCAACGCTGGAAACGCTTAGCGGATGGGAACCCCGGTCCAGATACATGGGTAACGAAATGAAAGGTTTTAACAGTTTTGCAGTTGGAATTAATGTTTGTATGTTCGGTTTGTATTTTGTATTGATGAAAACTAAGAACCTTTCCTTCATTCCAGTCCACTCTTTCATGGGATAACAACTTCAGAAGAATTGCCAATTAAGGAAAATAAATACACTTTGAGAGTGTTACGTCCCTCTTGCCCGTTGTAATAAATGTGATAATTTGTTTTCATTTTGTAAATCACTGGATAATCTTGTTTTATATATTCATGTTTAACCGAGTTCCCGAGAATAGAAGTTCGTGAGCTATTAAATGCCAACAACGAAATCCCAATTGCAAATTAAAGAGAAAAAATGTTTACGACATTCAAAACGGTTTGCGGTAAATCGTGACGATATACGGTGTATAATTAGAAACATGGGAAATCAAAGTCCTCTCGATCCCCAGCTTACCTCTAAGTTTATCACAAATAGAATTTAGATCTGTTCAGCGGCTAGCTATCTGTCATGTGTCGACGGGAATCATGGGAAATCGATAGTGACCATCTAGCAAGAACGCCGAGCCATGCTGGATCGTGTCTCGGCGGCAGTGTTCCGGAATGTCACCAAACCGTCTCCGGAAATCTCCGGCAATGTCCGGAAATAACCAAAAGAGGAGGAACAAAAAGAAAAGGAAAAAAAAAGAACTAACGGTTGTTTGAATGTCATCGAACATTGGTCTCGCTGGTTCAAACATTAATCGGTAGAGCAGTTTTTATGTCTGCGGTTCGATGGCCGGTTTCGGCAAACCAAAAGATGGTACTTGTTACTCTGCCATACACGTGGCATTATGGTAACAAAACAATACTGGTAGGCTCGGAGACAGGGTAATTGTTTGTTTGTTGTTTAACGCCGCACTCAGCAATATCCCCGCTATATGGCGGCGGTCTGTAAATAATAGTGTATGTACCAGACAATCCAGTGACCAACAGCATGAGTATCGATCTACGCAACTGGGATACGATGACATGACTCTTTGTCAACAAGGTCAGCGAGCCTGACCACCCGATCCCGTTAGTCGCTTCTTACGACAATCATGGGTTCTAACCTGGATCTGTACGGGCACAGTACATAGTGAGTGTTCCTGCTTAGGGTTTGCAATAGTAAAGTGCAGCTTCGTATCTAAGCTGATAAGCACTAAAACCTGCAAACAGGTGACGAAGATTAAAGATATCAGGTAAGAGCACCATTTGTCTTTCTGAGACAAGGGTATTTTTTATGGCTACTGTTAACATGGGAATTACTCAGTTTAAAAGATTACCTTTTGAATATAATCTTATATTCTTCTAGTACCTCGGAGGTAAATTACCCAGAGATCTATGTGGTTTACACAATCATACTATTACCATGAATATGATGGCTATCACTAATATTATTATTATCAGCTGTGACGTTACACAACCCAAGATTTCGTGACGAACATAGTCTGATATTCTTCACGAACAAGCTGAAAGGTAATCTGTCTCACCGTCCGTGAACCACATTATTTTCCCTACTGCCTAGCCCTCCCTGCAATGTAATCTGTCGCACAGTCCCTGAACCACATTATTTTCCCTACTGCCTAGCCCTCCCTGCAATGTAGTCTGTCTCACAGTCCCTGAACCATATTATTTTCCCTACTGCCTAGCCCTTCCTGCAATGTAGTCTGTCTCACAGTCCCTGAACCACATTATTTTCCCTACTGCCAAGCCCTCCCTGCAGTGCTGAAGCCCTAAATAAAGCAAGTCTAGATTTCCTCAGGCTCTGAATCTCGGGTCTCGGTGGGGCTCCTTTTCAATTTGAATGTGCTTGTTTGATACTATCAAAATTATATATATTCAGCAGAGCTCCAGATAAGATTTAGCTCATGTGGGTACTGTACCCACTGTATTTTTTGGGAGTGGGTATTATGAATGTTGAGTGGGTATTTCATTTTCCGTTACCCACTGCTTTCAAATATGTGCGTATTTCAGACACTTTACTCACCTAAGTATTACGTCATTGAGTAAGTTTACTAAGCAGGTATGTTCTGCCTTATGTCATACCTAATCAAAACCAACTTAAATATTATGGAAATTATTTCATAAAAAATCACTCATCCTATACTGACATTACAACAATTTGTCCTATACTAACAGTACAACTTGATAGCAATCGATGTCTTTTTCATTACGCAAGCGATTCTATAAATATATTCCGTACGCATTTGTTTTAAACTTTTTGCGTATCTAACATTTTAAATGCGTAATTGGTACGCAACAATTATTTTTCAATGCGTAATTCTATGCGTATTTTACCCGGATACGCAGCTTATCTGGGCCTCTGATTCAGAGACTAAGCGTTAGTCTAGCTGAAAGGTTGCCACGCGTCAAATAAGGGGTAATGGTTAAAGCGTTCGCTCCTCACGGCGAAGACCCGGGTTCGTTTCCCCACATGGGTACATGTGTGAAGCTGAAATATTGCTTGAATATTGCTGAATATTGCAACACGTAGCGTAAAACAACTCACTCACTCACTCACCGAGTCCAATACCCGCACTCCGTGTCATCCGCTTGTGATGTAATCAGCAACTCTGCTAACATGTCATGCACAGTGACATCATTTCATTACGGAAGACATCAGTTAACATGCGAAACGTTTTGAAGACAGAAAAAAACAGACAGTTTTGGGCGATAATGCAGTTCCGCCGTTCAAGCGTTATTTACTTGACTTCTCCGCAGCCTTTTGAAGATAATGAAATGACAATGATGCATGTTTGTGATTCCCCGGGGAGGCGCGGTAGAAGGAGTTGAGATCTATCATAGCGACGACAGCACGGGGACGACATGGCACACAACATTAGCTGTAACTCCACACCAAGGTACGACGTTGATAGATCAGCCGCCATGATGGCTGTAATCATCCTTGATGTCAACCCGAAGGCGATTTATATTCAAAGCGAAATATTGATATTTAATACGCATTTGATACATTCAGTGAATGAAAGTCTTAATATTTTCACTAAGGATTTGGCTTTTTCAAGTTCATTAGAATCCGATGAATAGGAATTCAATATCTAGGAAATAACCCTTGAATGCACAATATTGGCGTCTAAAGAGTAGATGCAGTTCTGCGCTGGTAAATTCAAGTAACATGAATTTAATATTTTGACATATCCCACACAACTGACTCCAGATACATTAAGATGATTAAGCAAAACATTTTCATCTAGGTTTAGTTGTTCAGCATCAGCTGTTGATACGGGATCCTTGGAACTGAAGGATCCGATGCTAATCGTTATCCAGCTAAAATAATTTCAATGTCTCAAAAGAACGTTAAACTATTGCCTGACGTCGCCGTCATTGTTTGCTGGACGCTGAATGAACGCTGCTGCCCACGTTTCGAGGCCCCAGCTTACACATCATTAGGCCAATTTAAGGTCAAGGGCGTATTTCAAGGTGAACCCTGCTCCACTGCACGCCATCGTAAACGAGCGCGTTACACGCAAAGGGAGATAATTAAATAATCGTCATGGGCTATCAGAGATAGTTCAAGAGCTGAATGTTCGCCTACGAGCGGAATAAGGAAGCTTTCTACAGCTGCTGAATGCACGTATTTGTAACGTGGTTTATCAACATTTTAACTGCAGATTCTATAATACAGTATATGTGTAGAGTCGAGGCCGGACTACAAGAAATCCCTTTCTAACCTGCACGTCTCTCCCATCCCGAGCCCGGACTACAAGAAACCCTTTCTAACCTGTACGTCTCTCCCATTCCGAGCCCGGACTACAAGAAACCTTTCTAACCTGTACGTCTCTCCCATTCCGAGCCCAGTCTGGGCTCAATAACTTGAACTGTGTTCAATATTTGAAAGAATCGATGTCCTGAAGGAAATTAATCAGATACAGTCACGTCTCATCTTTCTGGGAATGCGTCATTTGAACCGAAACATTTGATTTACACAGATTCCCAAACAGTGACTTAAGGCGACGCTGCACATTAATAGAAGCAGGATTTAATGAAGTATTGAACCAACATATTTGTCCTCAAACACGATTAAGATCAAACCCATGCGAGATCCTCTCTACAAGAATCCATCACACATGTTGCACGCGCATTCCCACTCTGACCAATCAGCAACCACCTGATGCACGTGCATTGACATTTAAACCAGTTAGAGACAAGACGACATGGTGCAAAAGTTACGCGAAGACAAACCACGGAATTCAATACAATTCCGAGACGCCCAAGCCTATTGGGTCTGGTGTTGAAGACAGATTTGGGGTTTGGTGGTATTTCAATACAGAAGTATTTGTGTTATTGAACACCGAACTCGTGCTAAGCTCGCGATCCACACGGATCAACCGTCTGCTCGAACAGATGTAGTGGATCGACTTTGGCCAGATTTGGTCTTCCCATTCCATGTCCAGTGTCAATGATGCTAATTTGATTGCTGGAGACGGGGAACGATGTTCATCGACCGCGTCCCAGACAGCTTGGTCTCGCTAGCGTCAAGACCGCCCCTCTGGAACCGTTGATTTACATCCAGCTCAAACTTTGGGGTATCGGGTTCAGATTTAAATCCACTGGCTGTAGATTGCAATTATCTTTGTAAAAAGAACATACCGACGTGGATACTCGACTCTCTGTGACTAATTAAAATAGGTAGAATATCAAACCTCGCTGGTATTCTGTTTCTCGTTGGTTTGGTCCATTGTCGATTCTTTTTCCATTTCAACTTTCAAATGGGATATTTGATACATATAAGTTCAGGGATTTGTTAATGCATGTTCGGAAAGTAATTTGGTCTGAAGGACCAACACTTGGAATCATGCCTTAATCCTGAGAATGACTTCTATAACACAAAAATCACTCACTAACTCATTGAAAAACAGGAGATATGGTATGTTTTCGTATTTTTATGATTTCATTTTGGGCAATTCGCTTTCCATATGGTCTCGGACCTTCTGCTAGGCACTATGAAGATGTCCTCATGGACTGAAACAAAATGGCGGTTTGAAGCATATGTCTTATATAACTCCACCCTGACAGAGTCTGAAACTCTTTCATCACAAATGAAATTTTGGCCGATTTTCGCTTCATCTTCGTTGTACACTAATCGCATGTTTTCACAACCCATACTCACGGAGCATGGGATTTGATATAGATGTTAATTTAAAACATGAATTCAGGAACAAAACATATTTTGTTTTCTTACGATTAGATCTGGGTCGATTCCGTTTTATCTTCTACAGAGTTATTCTAAAATCCTAATTTTGGAATCAACCCACTCATCTGTCTCTGAAAACACGTTGTCGACGTTGATGAGCTGTTCCAATTATCTTTCAATCTTCTCATGCCATAGATTTCAATTCCAGTTTGTATATTGCCCATTTGATCAGGAAGTTCAGATGTGACAGCTCTGTGTTGTAGAATTGACGCATTACCATAGTCTCAGATCGGTCCTCAATTTCGTGATCTCCAATACAAAATGGAAGTTACTGCTGCGACGAGATGTAGGAACACTCAAAAACTGTGATCGATGGCCGACCAAAAACGAATTAAGAATCGGAGATCTGATAAAGAGAGAAATACGCCATGTTAAACACTATTCTGTTGGGTCTGTTTGCCACGAGCTAGGTTAGATTATTAAGTCCGCATAAACAGAAAATTTGCTCATAAATTTGCATTAAAGGGACTCGCGCTCTGATTGGTAAGAAATCAGTTCTCCCTGCGGGTTTTCAGCCAGGACGACAAATATTGTTTGGACGAGGCAGTGTCGCACGTGCATGACATGGACGGGAATGAATTGCAGAAAGACAACGAAAACTTCAAAGTTAAAATCGATTCAAGACATTTCAATAGAACTGTTTGTCGCGTGCGCTTGCATGCGGTCGATCAGTTTAACAGTAGGTGATTCAACCAAAGCGCGTGTGATACGTAACCAGGTCTTTGCAGCGAAAACAAAAATGCAAAAAAGCAGAATCGACATTTTGACGAGATAACCTACCCTGTAAACATCAGAGTGTCCGATAAATAACACAGCGTACCGTATATATAGCATCAATTAAAAGACGTGGACACTTTCAGTATGTGATGTGAGGTGAGGTGAAATTGGGTTTAACGACGTGCTTGAGAATATTTCGCTGATATGACGACGTGCATGCGTGGGTATGCGTATGTGCGGCTGCTTGTACTAGCCCAGACTTAAGCTGGTTTTATAGTGCTAGCCCACTGAGATACCATGCCGCAGTGAAGCGTGAATACCCCACTCAGACACGTTATACTGACTTGTTGTACCCGTTAATGCCGAGCGCCAGGCAGGAACCAACAAGTACCATATTTTAACATCTTTTAGTATGACGCAGTCGGGGATCGAACCCGCGACCTTCCGCTCTCCGGGCGGACGCTCTAACCACTACACCACGGAGGCGGTCTCTTTCAGTATGTATCTACACAGGGCCCGAGAACGAAGACCATGACGTGATTGTCGATGTCTCTAAAGTTCGATATATCCAGGATTATTACAACTCACTAACCGAGTACCATGTGATCGCCTTCTAATGTAAATACCTGCACAGCCGCTTGAAGAGGTCATGGTAAGTCTCCGTGCCGTACTTGATTCCCCGGAGTAGAGACAGGGGGGAGTCGGGCTTAACGCTCTCCTCCATGTCGAGGGTGTTAAGATCTGTCCACGTCACCCACCGGAAAATAGCCCTGTAGAGTCGAAGATGGATACATTTTGTATGTATACGGTATTCATAAAGCCAGCTGGCGAATGTATCAATGTCTGTGTGGTCTATATAGGATTTGAGTGAGTGAGTGAGTTTAGTTTTACGCCGCATATAGGATTTGAGGCGTGCTTTACATTTTTATGCATATTATAACTTTAAGAGTGAGTGAGTGAGTGAGTACGCCGCTTTTAGCCATATTTCAGCAATATCACGACGGGGGACACCAGAAATGGGCTTCACACATTGTACCCATGTGGGGAATCGAACCCGGGTCTTCGGTGTGACGAGCAAACGCTTTAACCATTAGGCTGCCCCGCTGTCCCTATAACATCAAGATAGTGGGAAGGTTCACAGGGCAACGCAAACAGCGTCGGTTGGGAAACGAGTATTGCGTCAAGACTATATATACTGGACAAAATAAGTTAGGGATATTGGTATTTTTATGATTGATATTTTATCAATGTGTCAATGAATAAATACATCATTATTCATATATTATTCATTATTCATTTTTGTCCAGTATAGAAAGAAACAGTTACAGCAAGCTGAAGAACATAGACAAACCAAACAATTCTGTAGACGCTGCCACCCAATTCTCTATTTAAGGTTTGAAACGTACACAACTAACCCAACACGGAGAGTGCATATGGTGATATAAATGTATCATGGTGACATAAGTGCATATGGTGATATAAGTGTATCATGGTGATATAAGTGTATCATGGTGATATAAGTGTATCATGGTGTTATAAGCGTATCTGTGTGGTAAAACGGCGGCCTTGGACAATGCCAATAATGTTTCGGTGTCCACCATTGCTCTACTTCCGGGTATCCACTACTCACCTGGCCTTCTCCAGGTCAGTCTCGCACTCCACGATCAGGTCCTTCACGAGGTTGGTGAACGTTGTGTAGCCTTCCTTCGCCACCTGGCAAAACACAACAGCCATAAGAGAGATCGGAAAGTTATAATTATTCATAAAAACATAAGGAAATGAAGACATGTATTGCCCAGGTTGTGATTCGCAAATCCTGCACACATTGCTCCAGACTTTTGTCACATGCATAACCTATTAATATATAATTAATTTACAAAGTCCATGAGGCTTAATAATATTAATTTCACTGTTTCACTTTTGAGACGAGCATTTTAGAAATCAACTAGTAGGCCTTCTCGAAATATTCATAGGGCACCTTTCGCCGTGTTCATTACGACACTGCCTCAGAACAATATTTCTGTGATATAACGTTGTGCCTGCTTCAGGAGGAATATTGAATGAAGGTCGGTTTTAGACTTTTATCCCTTAAGCGAAACCCATGAGCAGGGTAGGACATACATTCAGTATGAATCTGGTATTCAAAACAACGATCACTGTTTCTGGAACCCCCTAGGAAGGCTACTCTTTGCAGTGCCCTAGATAACCTGGACACCTTCCTTCCCCTCTCCCAGTTGTTTCAGAACTACGACTGGTGACTCTGATTGGTGAGTCTGTCAGGTGAGTCTGTCTGGTGAGACCGTCAGGTGAGTCCGTCTGGTGAGTTCACCCGTAATACCTACATCTAGAACATGGTTATCCAGCTTCTCGAAGATGGTTGGACTCTTGAAGAGCTGTGCCTTCTTGAACTCCGGGGGTGAGACGGGAGGGGGCCGGGACAGGTCGATGGTTGGTGACCGGTCCTCGGAGTCAGGGGAGCTCCGGTCCTGGAACAAGAGGTACACTCTGGACAGACGTAACGATATGAGGATAGATTACTTCTTTCAGCTGTGCATTGTCTGCTACTCAGCAGGTACACTCTGGACAGACGTAACGATATGAGGATAGATTACTTCTTTCAGCTGTGCATTGTCTGCTACTCAGCAGGTACACTCTGGACAGACGTGACGATATGAGGATAGATTACTTCTTTCAGCTGTGCATTGTCTGCTACTCAGCAGGTACACTCTGGACAGACGTAACGATATGAGGATAGATTACTTCTTTCAGCTGTGCATTGTCTGCTACTCAGCAGAGATTAGCGTTTCATTCTCACTACGAGAGGATATCATTATTTGGTTCTTCCACGTCGGTTCTATACAAGCTTTAGAAAGGGTTCTCCCGACCTGGGTACGACGGCGCAGAAGTCTACGTATCTGAAAACCCCGGCCGATCGCCATTTTGAACTATTAGCTCAGTGCTGACCCTTAACCCAAACCTTTTCTCATAAGAATCAACCAACAACCAAGTGTCGACCATTTACATGAAAACTAAGTCTTCCGTCACAGATTCCAGACATTCAACTGTTTAGAAGGAAAGCCAATCAGTTATACTTCATCACAGCACCTATAACAGAGGGCATGCAACACGGCCACCTACAACTTCATTCAAGACACTGATAGCCCTGCAGACCTTAGAGCTACAGTAAGACTACGTGAGAGTCTGTGATCATTGTGGCGGTTAGATTGCTTTGTGCAAATGGGCTGCTCTATGGAGTGAACATATCACTACACGTGCTTAGTGACATAGCTAACACACTTGTCCCTCAATCCGAGACAACAACTTACATCAACAGTGGACAACCTCTCGGCAATCATCAGCAGCATCTCCTGGCTGTGTTTCTGGATTAACCGGGCAACGTGCTGCCTCTCCTCCACCGACATCTTCTCAATCAGCCGCCTCATCTTCTCCTCTCTCTTCAGCTTGTAGTGCTCCTCCAGCCTCTCGGTCTCCTTGGCCAGTCCACTCTTCCCCTTCTGGGGGGAGAAGCGCTCCAGCGTGGAGACCAGGTCCCTCACGGAATTGTCCTTCTCCACCTTCAGCTCCTCATCCAGACGCTTCATCTTCTTCTGTCTTTCCATCTTTAGGGTGGCGTACAGCTCGTCCTCCTCCTTTTTCTGCTCCCCCTCCAGCTCCAACTGGGCGTCGAACACGCCGCACTTCTCGTAGTCCTGGAACAGACAGTGGTGAAATACAATTTGAATTATGTATGTAATTTATGTAACGGGATACGATGACATCTGTCAACCAAGTCAGCGAGCTTGACCACCCAATGCCGTTAGCATGGATTGCTGAAGACCAGTTCTATCCTGAATCTACAAGTAATTACTCACGCTGTAGGTCCCTGTGGATGTTTTCTGTTTGCCCCTCAGGAAGATCTCCCTGTAGTGGGCGAACTCGAGAGCGTTGGCGTCGTACTGCCATCCCGGGTTGTAGACGCTGCCGCGAGTCTGGAACACAAAGCATTCACGTCAGACTTGTGTCACAACAGAAGCGTTCGAACGGTACTATAACACAATGACACAACACAGACGTGCTACCATAACAACAGAGTCAGGCGGACACAACAGTCTGCAGGGGCATGAACACAGACACTACCTTGGAGACTATAAGAGACTTGTGGTTAACGTGTTTGCTTATCATGCTGAAGGCCCGGGTTCGATTCCCCACATGGATACATTGTGTGAAGCCCATTTCTGCTGTCCACCAGCCGTTATAGTCCTGGGATATAGCTACACAGGCGGTATAAAACCATACTCACTCACTCTGTTATACCACACCATGTATTGGAACATGTCGTAAATGATATGTTATTGTGATTCTACCATACGTGTTCGTGCTGACGGACAAGCATCATAAAAGCAGCGATTTTTGAAACTGAAGCCATGGATCCTGGCTCCAAAAAGGGACGAAACTCGGAATAACAGGGCCCAAAACTGGAACCCATGAAACCGGAAACCCCTCCATGTTGTAGGTCACTGTTTAGGACTTATACATGTGTGCATATGGACACTACTTCCTAGCTAGAACGGACACGCGTTATTGTGGACAATACATCCTAGGTAGTATGGACAAACGTTATTGTGGACAATACATCCTAGGTAGTATGAACACACGTTATTGCGGACACTACTTCCTAGGTAGTATGGACACACGTTATTGCGGACACTACTTCCTAGGTAGTATGGACACGCGTTATTGCGGACACTACTTCATAGCTAGTACGGACACACGTTATGCGGACACGACACCATATCTAGTACGGACAGACAAAATGTCGGACACGACATGATAGTCGGACTATGTTCCGTCTACAACACAACATGGAAACGGCGTGCGTGGTGTGTGGATGTTGTTTAACGCCGCACTCAGCAATATTCCGGCTGTATGAGGGCGGCGACATGCACGCCGTCAGGTTACGTCAACACACCATGACACACGTCACGACGCCTGACGACGCTGACCCTCAACACTATGACTATGAAGGCGGCATGGACCTATTCTGACCCTGAATTCACCCCCAACCCCCCACCTCTGTTCATGACCAACATGATGACGGTCAGATGATACTCCCCCGGCCCACATGCGATGACACAGATATTTATCGTGTTCCAGACAAGTCCTTGATCCTCCATCTCTGCATACATATCCGATCGGGTAATCCGCGGATGCATTAAGCTCCACATCACGCCGGTGTACGAGTCTCTCGGTACAGGTAAAGTTACATCAAAGAGATAAGTGCACTCGTGTGGGCAGTAAAGTCGCTGTGAGGAGCTTCACGGTCGTGGGTGGTCACACTCTCGGAAATGCTCACGCGATCGGGCAATACAGATCACGCTCGGGATGCACAAACACCTGCAGCGATGTTCTGATTGGGGAAGAATGAAATTCGATTCAGGAATTAAAGAAGATTTTGAAGTACACTCCTTGATTTCCCTTACCACCTTCTCATAGTTATCTCAGCAACCCACCATCTTTGGTGCGTGTTTCCAGGAACAGGTCTGACAGAGTGAGTGAGTGAGAGAATATTGCTTAACGACGCAGCAGTCATGCACCGCGTTAAATATGAACAGCCAGGTGGCGTTAGGCAAGTACAATGTATGACTGTTGTTTCATAAACATCTCTGTCTGATTCCTAAGGTTCAAACTTAAAATGGTGAGAAAAAAATCAGAATGACATGTACAGTATCACACAGTTTATAACCCATTCAAACATCTGACAAAAAATAACATTTCAAAATTGATTAAAATTCGTCCGTCTCCAACTACTTCGGAAGTGCATAGAGTACTTGCTCTCAAATCTGGATTTTTCAATCATGGTCTGGTTTTGATAACTAATTTATACTTTGTTCTGAAGTAGAATGTGGTTTTGACAGACTCTTAATCTGTTCTATAGACTCCTTACATGTCACTATACGTATACCAGACTGCGACGTCTTTGGTCCAGCTTCACAAAACCAGTTTAGCAATACCGCCATCATAGACCGACAACCCTTTGTGATTCGGGCCCTGTCCTGCACCAGGTGTCCATTAGAACAGTGTTTATTTTCCAGAAATGAATCTACATCAAGTATTTGGGTTTTGTTGCCATGTCTCTTTGTTTTCGAAGCTAATCACATTATTATGAAACTAGTCTTATCTAACTTCAGGCTTCACCCTTGACCAGGCGATAATTCAAGGAGGGACCAGTTTTGGACGGTTGACCCGTGTTAATGAAGATAAGCGTTTATGCAAAGACTTACAGTATTCCCTATGGAGGACTCAACAGCTATTGTCAGTTTCACCGCCGCGCATGTTAACCTGGTTGGTAACTACAATGACACTATTCCGCGAAGGACTAATTACCGCTGGCTATCTTTGATCAAAGGGGAGCGACTTTAAATTACAGGGGTCTGCTCATGGGACGTTAGGTGTCAATTATTATCATGAAATTTGCTCAAATGAAAATTTTATGACTCCACGGAACAATGGTCTCACAGCAACTCTCTACGGGTGAGAACACAAGGTTCTCTTGTAAAATCTCTACGGGTGAGAAATAAAGGTTCTGTGTGATAGGTGGGAGTGGTGCATGTATAAACCTGTCGCCAAGGTACTGTATCAAATTAGTTACCTCCGAACTCGATGCTACGTGTTAGAATTCTAAACCGTCCGGAATATTTAGATTAACATTTGTTTTGCAAACGTCTTCATCATCGTAGTAGACCGCCTCCGTGGTGTAGTGGTTAGAGCGTCCGCCCGGAGAGCGGAAGGTCGCGGGTTCGATCCCCGACCGCGTTGGTTCCTGCCTGGCGCTCGGCATTAATGGGTACAACAAGGCCTGGTCGGCCCGGAGTCAGTATAATGTGTCTGAGTGGGGTATTCATGCTTCACTGCGGCGTGGTATCTCAGTGGGCTAGCACTATAAAACCCGCTTAAGTCTGGGCTAGTACAAGCAGCCGCTCATACACACACAGACGCATGCACGTCGTCATATGAGCGAAATATTCTCAAGCACGACGTTAAATCCACTTTCACCTCACCTCACCTCATCATCGTAGTGTTTTGAGTCGAACTTTTGGACGGACTATCGATAAGTCTCTGAACGCATATGATTTTGACAGAAACATAACATTATTTCAGTTAATAAGGAGTCCCAGTGAGGTTCAGAACCTGTGTTGACTAGCTCATCAGCTGTGCATCATGGAAGCAGCTGGGCGGAAGGGGGACCAGTGACCAGGGAATGTGAGACAGACGAGACTATGGCATAGCTATGGAGCAATACACAATGGTTTATTTCAAAGACGACCATAAAATTCGCATAGTGTTTGGTAGCGAGATGTGCATGTGTATCTGTGTAAGAGAGGGAGCTAAATTTCATCGGCATTTTGTCGTCCGTAAAGCCGTGAGACCAAGTTTACACACGTGTGTGTGTGTGTGTGTGTGTGTGTGTGTGTGTGTGTGTGTGTGTGTGTGTGTGTGTGAGGGTTTTGTGTGTCTGAAAATACGAATATACGCACGTATACACATACACACACGTGTGTAATTTCATATATATTTATAGCCTTGAAATGTACACGTTATTTTATCCTAAGACATGTAATATGAGTGAGTGAGTGAGTTTAGTTTTACGCCGCTTTTAGCAATATTCCAGCAATATCACGGCGGCGGACACCAGAAATGGACTTAACACATTTTGCCCATGTGGTGAATCGAACCCGGGTTTTCGGCGTGACGAGCGAACGCCTTAACCACTAGACTACCCCACCGCCCCACATGTAAGATGAAGAAGAGAGTGTATTACTGTGTGTATGAGAAACAAATCTCCACATCTCATTGACACATACCACGTACAAATGAGACACTTGAGGTCAAGGCAATCCCCCCACACCACTACGAAGTCGCCGATATGAAGCTGTTAACGGAGGACAGTTGAGCGCATCAACACCTTGCGCCTCCATCAGCTGACGCTCAATGTCCGGTCGCCGCTAGCGTTAATGTCGTTGCCAACGATGTGGCCACCTGCGTTGCTGTTGTCGCAAACACTCGAGGTCAATGCATGTGCCGACGATTGGCATCGGGTGCGTTAATGGGGCGATGCCGTTGTGTGAACGTATGTCCTACAGGAAATACTCGGTCGTTTAAAGGCAGTTTATGGACAACTGTCTTCATTCATTAAACACGTGTCATTACAGAGCAGGAGATTGCTTTATATACAGCATTCGACATAATGAAGAAGTGGCTTTAACGTGGTGTAGGCAATAACTGAACAGCTGGGGCGCCAGGAATGAGCCTCATATATTGTAACACTCAGGCTGTTTGTTGGGCTTTGGGGGACAACGGTTTAACCGCTAGTGAGCTCAGCCAGAAGAGATGCATCTGGTGATAAAAGAGCTAAATAAAGAGATTTCCTCTGTCAGTGAGTGAGTTTGGGCTTGTTTATCAAAATTATATATATTCAGAGATTAAGCGTTAGTTTCACGCCGCTTTTAGCAATATTCCATCAGTATCATTGTGGGGGACACCAGAAATGGGCTTCACAAACGTACCCATGTGGAGCATCGAACCCGGGTCATCGACGTGACTAGCGAACGCTTTAAGTACAAGGCGATAAGAGACATAGAAATGATATTTCCGAGATGGAGAGGTTTTTAAAATAAACTTGTTGGGCGAAACGGTCCAGACATGTATCCTAACAGAATAGGGACACAATAACCTGGATAAAAGAAGATGTTCACTGTAGCTTGTCATCAGCTGAAACAGACATCCAATCACAGCACTGTAAGGAGCGAGGTATATTCTGTGCTACCATTGTCATAAGAAAGATGGATGACGACGTCAGTGTGTAACGACGTATTGGGGTGAATGGTGAATTTACCATAACAGAACTGAGATATAACGCCCTTGATAACCGAGGATGTATTTGTTGTACGTGCTCTGATGTGTAATCTGAGTCCTCGAGGAACGTCTCCAA